AGTTATATTTCACCGGAAACAGTTATATTGCCCTCCCCGAACACAGTTTTATTCCCTCATATGCAATCATTTGGCATATTAATTACGTCGGGTTCGAGGCAGTTGCTAAGTAAACGTAAACAGTTCCGCGAAAATTAAAATGTCCGGACAACTTTTGCGATTTGTTCATTTGAATTCAGAGGAATTAGATAATTTAATTGAGGAGAAAATTTTCTTAAATACAACAAAGGATATCAACACATGTATCAGCATACTGAAAACATTTTGCCATGAAACAGGACGGGATATTTCGGAATTATACTGATTTTTTTTTTTAGGAACCACAGAGCCAGAAAAGGTGAAATTTTATCTGAAAACTTTCTGGAGTTGTTTGGATTCTAGATTGATCAAATCATTGGCCCAAGGGGTAGGGTGAGCCCAGAATAGGATAAAATTACATTGATCAATATACATATTAGGAAAAATCTTTCAAAATCTTGATATCAAGAACCAATAGGTTAGAAAACCTGAAGAATATGAAAACTTCCTGGGGAAAGTGTAGATTCTAAATGTTCAAACCATGACCCGGGGCTAGGGTGGGGCCACAATAAATATTCCAATGGGGAATTCTGGTTAAGAACAGCAAGGTCAAAGTTACTCAAGCGAGTGTTGCTGCCCATGATTTTTCCTCTACATATTTATGTAAAACTTTTATTTTCTTATTGTGGTCCCATCCTACCCTCAGTTCTATGATTTGAACAATTTTAATCAATATGTTCCACTTAAGTTTTAGCTTTTCAGACCCAGTGGTTCTTGAGATTTTAAAGATTTCCTATATATTTCAATGTTTAATAAAAATCTGATTCCCTATTATTGCCCCACATCATTTGAATATTTAGACTCAACACCACCTTGGAAAGCTTCTTATAAGTTTTAATTTTTTCTGCCAAGTGGTTCTTGAGAAGAATAATTTTTCCCACCCTTCTTTAGGGTATAGTATTGAATTGTGGACAGGCCAGAAAAGCAACAGAAGTACACCAAGAATGATTCACTTATTAGAATAACGTCTGAGAGAGTTTTTGCCTCTGACGTAATAATCTCTCTCGGGTGTTATCATAATGTTATCATAATATGTAAAATATTCTCTATGCACTTCCATTGCTTTTACCTAAGGATATTTCAACGCTTTGACCAGAATGCTTTTTAAGGAGAAATTGTGGGATTCTTAAGAGATGCAGAGACATTCCAATAGCATGGACTAAGACAGAAACATATGTATAGAGAAAGCGTGAATTTACATTTTAGGTTAAAATAAATGCATGTTTTTAAACCCAGAAAGACCAGTGGGGGTACAACATAAACAAAGCGGAGTGGCATACCTTTCTCTCTTACCGTATAGTGGGTTATTTTAGCGGGGTGCTAATTTTAGCTTATTTTGTTGTTTTGATGGTAGGACGCTAAAATTTTAATCACTAAAATAGTCAGTACCTTTCTTAGTGTTCATCTGCAAGGAGCTGAAACTCTGTATCCGCTAAAATAAATTAAGCTAAAATTATTGGCATACCTTTGAGCAAGCAAAACGCCAAATTTTACACCCAACAAGAAAACCCACTATACGGTATAATGTATAGTGGGGTATTTTTTTTTGTGTGGAGCGATTATTTGGGGCTTTCATGGTTTTTTCCTATGGTACACTTGATGAATAAGTGTAATGAATATAATTAGTGAAAAAAAAATGTCAACAAGCCCCGAGGAGGGGGGTTCCTGTCCACAAGTACCTGTGCTTTTGTCCTGCTTCTTGTACATGTACATGCAGCTATTAAATGATTAGGAGTAATTCAAGAAAAAAATGCAGCCTTTAAAGACTGGTCCCAATTTTTGATTGTAATTGGGCTTATCAGTTGAAGAGGAGGATTATGTTTAATTATCAATATGTTCATTAATGAATGATTACAGTAACTGAAGGTCATAACATTTTTTTTTCATTTTATTGCAGCTACATACATGTACATACATCAACAATTTTAAAATTTAAATGAGTAATAGTTCTGTTTACGAGCATTTCTATTCAAATCACACTAAGTAACATTAATTAACACTACTTACAAGTTTATCTTTTAAAAAAGAAAGGGTGAGCTAGCGCCGTAGCAATTTTTAAACACAGAAAGGAGGATCCGTGATCAAGTGATTTATTTTGCTGAATTCTTTAATTTTCATCGAGGCTAGAGAGTGATAAAGTTGTAATTGTTTTTTTAAGTTTATTTTATAGACACATAGGTAAAGAAACGAGGGGGTGGGGGTTTGTGTTGACCTATTGGAGTTTTGGCGCAACAGAACATTTATGACCTTTATTGGAGAGGGGGGAGACTCTATATAATATGGAGATAATGCCGATTGAGGCATTGTATGGGCTGGTTTAAGAATTATAGAATTTCTTGGCAATGTAGCAAAGAAAATACAGGGGAGTTAAAGGGAATATAGAAAATAACTCAAAGTGTATGTTGTATAAAGAAATCCAGAGAGCTGTGAAGTAGCTTGGTCCTTTGGGTCATCTCTGTCAAGAAATGTTAGGTTAAAAGCCATACACATCAGAATTTTTTTTTATAAATAATGGATTTATTCGTTATTTTTAGTGTAAATTCTTGTTTTTGGAATTTGTAAGATTGGCTGAATTGACCAATCAGAAATAAGAATCTATCTTTGGTTGTGCTTAGACGTAAAAAAAAAAAAACCTCCCTTGTCTTTGTTTAGAACAATCAGATAATGACTCGGGCTTTTCGGTCAGAAAAAAACCAGAAAATTTGAAATATTACAAATATGCAGTTATCATTAAAGTGTAAGCTACACAATAAATAAACATAGTTATGTACATGATACAAAGAAATTGTTATCGTATGGTCTATCTATAGTAGTTTTCACAGATTTCCCAGAATGCACGACCATGAAGCCGAGCACGCATATTCTAGGAATTTGGACTAACGTAGTTGCTAGTGCTCAAGAGCGCTAGCAATGAAGGTGCCAAAATGGTTTGTGAAGTCACAAGTTATCACGTTGCCAGAGTTGACAGGGCAGATCTGACATCAGATCAACTGAGATGTGCAGTGTTCAGTTTGATCTGACGATTCTCATCTCTCCAGGAGGCATGGTGCAGCTCTTTGGATAATGTTACTGTTACAATAATCAACTTACTCTTGTATAAATGAGCTATCAAGAAGTCTGTGAGCCAGTGCTCACTTAAGTAATACCCCCATTCTGATGAAAATATACACTATCGTGTTAATATACACAGGTTCAGTTACGGACAGATGCACAGATAAATAGGAAGTTGACATCAGATTCATATTAAAAAAATCCAACCATGATATGCCTCAACAAAGTATGTGCTAAAATTTCATGCATCTGTAATGAGTAGTTGCTGAGAAAACTACGACAAAAATTATTGTTATGTATGGTATGAACAGACGCAGGGATGAACAGGAAGTTGACATCAGAGTGAACAAAAATGAATCCCATCATATGGCATGCCCAAACATATAATGTACTAAAATTTCAAGCATCTGCAATAAGTAGTAGCTGAGAAAACTGTGACAAAAATTTGTTATGTATGAACAAAAAGAATCATATGCACTATAATTCTGAAGCAAGTGTGATAGTGTACATCCCTAAATGTATCATTCCAGCAAGTTTGGTCCAGGTAAGATTTTTAGTTACACAGTACTTGGGAATAGACTTGCTCATAAAACTTTAACCTATTCATCTGGAAAATGTAGGCCAGATCCAGCATCTGAAGCAAGTCTGATAGTGTCCATCCCAAGATGCATCATCCATGCAAGTTCGATCTTGGTAAGGCTTATATTTAGCTGGGACTGGACCCTCCAAAACTCTAATGCCGACTCCAATGCAGGTATAGCATAGGCTTTATTGACTTCTTGAGATGGGTTAAAAAAAAAAACTTTGGGACCAATTATATAACTTTTATCTAAAAAGCAAAATAATTTTAATGGAACTTTTTGCTGAATGCTTTTTTTTTTTAATCAAAGGAGTTGGTTGTTTTCTTTCCTATCACCTTACAAATATACAACTTGCTGGTTAAAAATCATGTACAACAATGAACCATGAGAAATCTGGTATTTAAGACTAACTTTCCTGCCCCCCCCCACCCTTTGTTGTTTTTTTCATTCTTTCTTTTGTTTGTTATATATAATATCTCTTTGTGATCTATTTTAATTAAATATGTCATAAATATAGGATCTCCCATGATATGTAGTTGGATAAGATTTTTAGCCAAGTTGTTTTTTACCTCCTCACCTTGATGAAGGGGAAAAACACACAACCAGCTATCTAAAAGTCATATATGCAACCACAAACCATGGGAAATTCTTTTTATTGTGTATTACGCTTATACATGTACATCACTATATAATGTTTTCCAACACATGTATTTTTATTATATGAATCCTATTTATTTAAGTTTAACGTATATAAAAAAAATTACATATTAAACTGGTCATTGTAGGACATTTCATAATTTAATAATTTAATTCACAGGTCTAATGAGGTATTATTCCAGACAATTAATGTTTCTAGTATCAAATATACACACATATATTTAAGTAATTTCTTATGTTTCATTTACTTACACACATTCATGAGACATTTGCCTTTCCTCTTAATGCCAAAAGTAATAATATCAACAAATGAAATACAGAAATCTTTTACATTTGTCATTCAAATAGGGAAAATTATAATTTTTATGCTTGCACAAATAACGATTTTCGCCTCACAAGTGTTTAAAAAAGTCACACTGATCAACGTTTAAAAAAGTTGAGCGACTAAGTGGGATTTTGTCTGAATTACAATCATACACATCTACTTTACACACTGTATTTATATCCTTTTCAACTTCTTGCATGTTAAAGACAAAGAACAGAGGAAATTCTGGTGTCACATGTACCGCTTAGAATAATGATATTTACCGGGTTTCTGGGGTTCTTTTTGATATTGTAGTAAACATTTCTTACCATTCGACCAGCAGAGGGCATTTTTGCTTGTATATTGTGCGTGTTCAACTAAATTTTAACGAAATTGTGCACAGCCTCCCGCCAGTCCTTTGTTGTCGAGCTGTCAAATTTTCTTCACATTTGATTGGCTGCAGGAAAGTGAAATCCCGATCCCGATTAAAAGAAAGGTACAGGGTTTATCAAAATAAAATCCTGAATATGTCTATACACATAAGTTATAAAAGTGCCTATTTTAGCATAAAGTCATAAGCATTGAACATGCAGTGAATATATCTACAAAGAAATTTATATATACTTTATAGAATTTAAATTATACTGTGCTCTTGCGTGTAGTTGGGTTGCCTTGTAAATGTTTGTCGTCTCTTCTTAAATCCGGTGTTTTTGCGTGGATTATCAACATGTATGCATGGTATGTACTGTAATAAAAAGACAAACTATTTGTCTCGGCACAACAAACTAAATAGGGAAATATTCAAGATAAACGATTCGGGGATAATTTACCTCCACACTTAGTCCTCTTATTTTCCTTTTAAGGGGGGATGTTGGATGTCTGCTATCAACTTTTCTTGTTCAATTAATAGTACAGCTATGTTATTTTGAAAGAATAAAAGGAAAATCCTACTTTATGAGGAGGGGGGGGATCAACTTCTTTCAGAAATTCAAAATACCACATTTCATCCCTAACCACTACATTACCCTTATTTGACTATATTGCGACAAAAAGTGTGCACTTTCAGCCGCTCTTTCAATTTTCAAAAGTAAAAATAAACACTTCTCAAAAGCATTTTATTGAGCATTCTCTTTTCGGTCAATCTTTAAACTAACGCAGACTGCAGACTACTGGCAGGTAAGTTGATGTTACAAGGATTTTAACATCATTTTTGTTATAATGATTTTGTTCACTAGTATAAATTATCATCGAGTCAAATTAAATTTTTGATTACGGAATGTTCCGTCTACCTGATCTATACATAGGAGTTACGGCGAATGTGACTGGTCGACAGGGGATGCTTACATCTCCTAGGCACCTGATCCCATCCTCAATAACAAGACAGGTTTCTTTTCATGACATGTTCACAGATTCCAGTATGTATAACCGAATATTTGTAGATTTGTAGCTCTACTGGTCAGAGATCAGAAGAGCATATGCACTAGTAAGGTGTCCGTAATCTGCCAATCTGTCTGTCTAGCTGTCCGTCTGTTTGTAAACAATTTTTCAAATTGTTACTCTTCCTACAGTTTTGGTCTGATTTCAATATAACTTGGCACACAAGTAGATTGCACTAAGTTATATAATTACGAGATTTTTGTTGTTGTGTTGTTGTTGTTTTATTAATGGTGTTGGCAAGGTTACTAAAACTGTATATAAATTGTTGCGAAATTCTTTCAAAACGTTACTCATCCAAAAGTTTTGGTCTGATTCAATACAACTTGGCAAACAAGAAGATACATACATGTAATAAAGCACATCGATTTTTAGATTTTGTTGAAAGTTGTTGCCATTTTCACTAAAAACAGAGTTTTTTTTCCCTTCAAAACACTAGTCCTCCTACAATTTTGGTCCAAATTCGATATAACTTGGCACACAATTTTAAAAGAAGCATGTTATGATGACAGTTTTATATCCTGTTTAAAGGTCGCCTGGATAAATGTCTATTTACGTTCAAAACAGAATCAGCTGTATGTGATTTCTATTTTGGCAACACACCCATTGGTTCCTGAGACCCATATCGAATCGCTGTCCATACTGACAGACAATGCACTTTTAAATTTATCCGATGCTGAAAACGTTTCTAAATGAAGCCCATTCTTATCGAGAATCGTGACGTCAGAACAATGGCGACTGATGACGATGATATTGGAGTATTGGTCACAGCAGACGTCCCAAGGAGACTGAGTGGAGAACTCAAATTTGAGAACTCCACTGGACGACAGAACATACAGTCGGCTGTTCTGGTCGGGCACTCTGTCAATGACACAGATATCGGCGTTTGTGTTCTCAGCTACTTTTCTTGGCATGTTGAAAAGTCTGGCTCCAATGCTTTGGATAATACGACCGCTTATAGAAAGTCTGAATACCCTACAGTGACCGGTCTTAGTATGGCCGTTCGTTGTGCTGTCCTCTAGACAAGCAAGATATTGGCCTTCACGGGTCATGCAAATTGACAGAGGCTTCAGAGGGTCAGTATTGATGACCTTTGACAGTCTTCCGTCTCCAGAGAGCTTCAGAATCACCTTGCCGACGAAATCCACGCACAAGAGACATCCATCTTGTGATTTTGCAAAACCATAGGACACAACTACACCGAAATCTTTCACACTTAGAAGATTTCCATTATGATCCAGAGCAAAATTGTCCGTTGAACCTCGAGGATGAAGCCATATTCTATTCCCCAAAGAACAAATGGAGCTTATATCGTCTTGTATTTTGGTGTATGAAAATGCCTTCTTTTCGCCAATAACAATATTTGGAATATACTCGGTATTGGTCTGCCCTTTTCGTCGGACGAGATTAATTTGTCCAAACATGTTCTCTAATGTGTTGGAGTCGATTTTCCCTGTTTGGAAGGAAGACTCGCTTTTGAATGTTTCAATGTCCAATTCGTGTACCTGTTTGATGTACTTCTCCAGCTTACAGTTCGCTGTGATCACCTCGGAATCAGTTCCTCTCTGTAAGATTTTCTCGCACTCTTTTGTCAAACCAGACAAATCCCTAAAGTCTTCACGAAGCTCCCTCTCCGCCTCTATATACGACTGGAAACTCTGTTCTAGCGCCTCCTTAAGCTTCGTCTCCATCTTCCTTACGTTCGTCAAGATAGCAGTGCTTTGCTTTTCGATATTTCGCAGTGTCTCGGTCTTCTTCCTTTGATTTTCTTTAGCGATATGTTCAACATCCTGTAGGGTGTGGTTCATCTTAGGAAGGGTTTTCTCGTGAGCCAGTTTTGTGTTCTTTGAGAGCGAGGCGCGTTTCTCGTCTGCTATGTCCCTGACTTTGCACCAGTCATGCGATTTGTGCTTTTTGAGGACACAGTCAGTACATACTAATTTATCACAAGTTCGACAGTACAAATTCAGTATTTCCAGGTCGTGATCAGAACACATTCCTGAGAAAGTATCAACAGAGGATTTCGTGGATCTTCCGGTAATTGGCTTCGAACTTGATGTATTCACGCGTTTTCGGGACATATTTTTCGATATTGAACTATGTTTCAAATATTCAAAAACACCGTCTTCTGTTGTATGCCCTTGCTTCCATTCTTACCAAAGATTTTTTTTCGCTTTTATGAAGATACTTTAAACAATAGATAGTTTAAATATCGCTCCAATGACTTTGAAGTGACTTTATTATGTACACTAATCAACGAAGAGATTAAAATTTCAATAGAAGACATTTAATTACGAGTAAAAAGTTCTCTCTCTCTCTCTCTCGTAAAAACTATTTGTATGTATAGAAGACATTATTTATATCAATTTCAAATAAATCATCGACCCTTGTTTCTTTTTATGCGCCCGGATCGATAGATCCAGGGCTTGTATTGTTTTTGTCCTGTCTGTCTTTCTGTCTGTCGGTTGTCTGCAAACTTTAACCTTCGCCATAACTTTTGAACCATGAGAGATAGGGACTTCATATATGTTATGCATACTCCACTAATGAAGTTCTTTCAAATGACACCAAGGCCAATGACCTTGACAGTGACCTATATGCTAAAAATAGGTTTTTTTCTGCAAACTTTAACCTTCGCCGTAACTTTTGAATAATGAAAGGTAGAGACTTCATATTTAGTATGGATATTCCAATAATAAAACTCTTTCCAATGATACCAATGTCAATGACCTTGTGACCTTAACTGTGACCTATAAGTTAAAAATAGCTTTTTGTGTGCAAACTTAAACCTTCGCCGTAACTTTTGAACCATGAAAGATAGAGACCTCATATTTGGTATGTTTACTTCACTCATTAAACTCTTTTGAATGACTTCAAGGTCATTGATCTTGTGGCCTTGAGTATGACTTATGTGCTAAAAATAGCTTTTTTGAACCTTAACCATAACTCTTGAACCATGAGAGATAGGGACTTCATATTTGGTATGCTTACTCCACTAATCAAGTTCTTTCAAATGATACCAAGGTTAATGACCTTGTGACCTTGATATTGATCTTTACGCTAAAAATAGCTTTTTTCGAACTTTGTGCCGCCGGGCGCATAGTGTTTCACAAACACATCTTGTTTATTCTCTTTTTTTTGGGCAATATATACTAGTGTATTGGGAGTCAATATAAATCTTACTCTATGTTATCTCTCCTATTTATCAACCTGGACAAACCAAACAAATGCAAACAGTGAATGGATCTTAATGGGAAAGCGTTCGGAACGATTCACCAGCCCACCGAATTCATTCCTTGACAAGTACAATACTGGATGCATCTTCCAAACATTTTTTTAAAAATAAGTTAAATTGTAGGACATAGAAGTCTGCTCCAAGACCTTTAACTATCGGGATGCCGACGTCGTGTGTATAACATAAGCCCAAAAAACTTAATAATAATAATAATAATAATAATACTTTATTTAAAGAAGGTAGCCCGATTAGTGCACGCACTATTCTTCCCCGGGGCCTTCTGTAGACAAAAATCAATATACATACATATACAAATATACACAATCAAATAAATAATCATATTCGTTGAAATGAGCTAATGAGACAAGCTATTGACAAACAGGTTGTAGAAACATGGTTATCTATGGTCTCTTTTACTGCCAACATTCCACAAAATATATGGTCGACTCACTGACTTTGTCACTATTTACATTTTATCAGTAAGTCGAATGTTGGCTGTCATTTTTTTTCACTGAAATTTATAAGTCAATATTGTCAGCATATTTTTCTATTTGCTCAGTCATGACAATGAGTACATGGCAAGAGGAAGCTGTCGACAGGGGATGCCTACTCCTCCAATGTATCTGATCCTTTCTCTGGTGTTTTTAAAGGCTCTTGTTAGCTTTGCTCTCAGTTTATGTTAACTTTTCAATGGACTTTTGAGCTTGATTATATATCCACACATGTATTTCATTCAGTTTTCCCTTTAGAGAAGTGGACAGGTGGATGTAGGCGAAAGCTTGTCAACTTCTTTAAAGAGAAGACGATCATTATATCTATATTGCCCTTATTAAATTGGGACCCAAATATTTAGCTTTACAACTAATATAATACTGATTAACGGCAATTTGAACAAAATAAATGAAGATTTTTTTCTTTAAAGGAAGGGACGAGATTATGTCCATGTCTATTAATAACATTTTCTCCAGTTTCGTATTTTACTTTTGAACTCCTCTGTATTATAAGCATTTTAGATCGGGATCGACAATCTTATTTCCAACCGGAAACACGTACCCCAGCGATAAGGAAAAAAATAATTTTCAGAGACTGTTGTTGGTTTGAATTCAAGGTATAACTATGCCTTTTGAGAACTTATTTTATACAGATATACCATTATTTTATTGTCTTGAATAACAACCTCAAGAAATGTTTGTAACCCAAACCGCGGGAGGGGTAGGAGAGACCGGTGTGCCACGTTTAGCAGTTTTGCAGGGGCCTATTGCATACTAAGATTGATTTTACGTGTTAAGTTATTACTGCATAAACAAATAATGAGCTTTAAAGACATAAATAATATGTTACATATGTCTCTGGACTCTGGTATTATCAAGCACCAGCATTTGTTTCTGCAATAAATTGTTACTTCACGGGTTCAGTTCCTTAGAACTATAGCTTGAATTTGCTTTATCAATCTATACAAGATAGCTTGATTAAGCTATTTTAGTGTAAGAAATAGAACTTCTAAGTTCTTAGATTGCATTTGTATTGTATTTTACGCACTTTAAGTATGCTGCGACAAATTTCCGAGGAAAACTTGCGCTGTCGAACTGTACTGTAGCTCTCTGCTTGAGAAAATTCAGCCAGATAAATCAGAGATCTACATATCCAAGCATTGTAAAACCTACCTTCCATTTCTGCTGCTGTATTTTGTTTGGTGAGGCATTCATGTGAAAAATTTCTAAGCTTATTACCAATCAATAAAGCCTTTCATGTTAACCAGAATAGGTGTTCATATTATAGTCTGCGTATGTACAATTTCTGAAACGAAGTAAATTATTGACATACAAATTGATGAAACAAGAATATCAGCGGTGTTTAAAGTCATCATTTCATAAGTTCTATGGTCGATACAAATTACAATGACCTTGTCAGCACGTACATTTTATCATTGAGTCAATTGCTGACTAACGTTTTTAATAGTTATTGTTAGTCATTATTTACACACTGAACTGAAGACTGATTTTTCCGTTATTTCCTGATTATGACACGAAACAAAAGGTGAATGTGACTGGTCGACAGGGGATGCTCACTCCTCCATGGCACCCAATCCCATCTCTGATGTTTTGGAAGTCCTTGATGGCTCTGTTCCTATTTTGTGTACCCTGATAGTTTTATTTACTTTTGAGCTTGAATACTGTTTGTTATCTCCATATATTTCATCCAAAATGCAACTGTTTCTCATAAATCAAATGGCAATTAGCTCCAAAGCTTTTAGAACTTTGATAGCAATTTCTCTGAAGGAGAAAGTGATCATGGTTATTAGTTAGTCTGAAATTTTGAATGATAAGACAGATTACAATAATTTAAATTAGTATCCTTATCCTATGGAACATAGTCAATGTCTTTGCATGTAGAGAAACATGATAGTTTGTGTTAAACCCAATTTTAAGCAGTATTAAAGGCAATTTTTTAACACAGAGTATTTTGTCTTGCAGAATTAACAAGATGATCTCGGATGTTCAACTAGCCATTTTTGCAAATGCTCTTGGAGTGACATTATTTTTGCTGGTTGTCCTCTACCATTATGTGTCAGTCAACAATGTAAAGAAGCATGATTGATAGTAAGTTCTAGGTCTCTATCATTTATCAACAGCAATACTGTGACCTATTACCGGGTACTTTGAAGTATTTTCTTATTTAATGAATCTTTTATTTTCTTTTTTTTTTCCAGATGCAATCAACTTTAACATACAGTTGTATCTGATCGTTGTGTGAATGGGATGGTGTTTGTATAAATGTGATCATTTGTTAGTCATTAAATCCATATTCTTATATGTGTTTATTTATATTTTAATAAAATAAGAGACTCAAATACTTCACTAGATTTTGCATGACTAGTATTTACATCTGATGAATGGAAGGAATAGATCTATACTTTGCCACTGAAAGTGGCATCCTCATGGTCTGGTGACACTGATCAAGTAATGAGATGTACAATACATGTGCCAGTATTTTCAAAGGAAAGGAAGGTGGGGGATTTGCTGTCACATGAATCTACATTGAGAATGCTTCCATATATTTAGACTTGAGAAAATTTGAATCTGCACTACCTGAGATGGCTTCTAAAAAAAACAACATACATGTATCATGGATTTCTTGTTCCCCTTTTTTTTAATGCCCCTCCATGAATATGGCCAGGGCACATAGAGTTTGTCTTGCATAACCTCCCACCCTTGTACATTCATGGGGCTTTGCATTAAGGTCAATTGAAAGAAACCTTTCAAGTTATATTTATCAAACTTATATGCTGATATATATTGAGAGCTATTTACTGCATCATCACTTTTAGATCTTTGCCATATTGCCCACCCACTGTGGCCCCACCAAATTCTCACCTTGGAAGAGATGTAGCTGAATCCTTATACCTAAGGATACTCTTTGCCAAGTTTGATTGAAATTGGCCCAGTAGTTCTGTACAGAAAAAATAAATCTTCAAATGTCAGACTATGGCAAATTTTGATCAGAAAGGCTCACAAATGAAGGGTAACAGCAAGGTTACCAGAGAGTTTTCCACATAGAACTGACATATAAAATGTAGGTCAGATGCATCACTTAAAAAATGCAACTAAAACTGAATGATTCCAGTGATATTGGTACATCAGACGAAGTATCAATTGTATCTTTAAATACCAGGCATAAATGCTACATGAAAGTCGGTTGAGCATAAGTTGTAAAACAGATGTAGTATCTAAAGCAGTGAAGCACTCTGATCCATCAGTGTCAAAGTTTGATTTGAAGCTTTAACCCTAAGTAGTCCATCAATTTTATTTCCTAAAATATTTACAATTTCTGAAAAAGATCTATATAAATAGCATTCAAAGTTTCAGAATGCTTATAAGGTATTAGAAAGAGTTTGATTTCAAAATTTATTTCCAACAGATAACAAAGCACTTTCTTGATTTACACATCAGAGGTCTAGATTTGAACATTAGCCTCTCTGCACCATTTATATGGAGATTCCCTTCACTATTCAGCATTAATCAGTAATGTACAGAACACTCAAGGCTGAGTTGTATTTGTTGAACAGACCAGGCTGGAAATGACAGCACAACATTTTTTAAAAATGTTTGAAAATATAAACATTCAGTATTCCTAGGCAGTAGAACTGATATGATCATGCTATGGAAACATTGGCTGCTGCAAAGTATTTTTGTAGGAACGTTTGGGCTCCTTCCTCTAGACCAGCTCTAATTAGTGGTGCAATCTGAAACAGTCAAAAGCATCAAATTACAGTCGCAACTAGAGTTGTCAAATCAATCAAACTTAAGTACCAAACCAGTTACTAGCTTGCCTTATCAGACTAAGTACTATCCTTGTTATTGAGAAATATCAAAGTTAAACCCAACTATTTTCAAGATCATGTAGTATTCTTAATGGATCACCTTGATTTACAAAAAAAACACAAGATAAACAACTTAAATTAATGTTAACCACTTAAGGACATATGGAATGTAGTTTGAACTTTTTTGTCTTTTTCCATGGAGTTGAAAAGTTCCAATTCTTGAAGGAACTGTATGCAATATTTTAATGTCTACATATGTCGTACACTTCTAATTTTTTTTTTTTAAATAAAAGAAACATCTAAAATATATGTTGAGTATTTTTATATATTTTTCTTTGAATCATCCATCAATTAATATTTTTCAAAAAATCCTGTTAATGCATATTGATTTTTTGTCTATGACCATCTTCTGACATTATAATCTTCATTGAGGAATATCTTGAAAAAGTATCAGTAGGTAAGGAACTTACTGTCCTTATACTTATGTTGATATACTTCATGTATATACATAAATATAATAAAATGTTTCATCAATCAAAGACTACAAACCTTTCCAGGATTGGCTGCTGAGAGCTTAGCTAGTTGTTTGGCCAGGTGAATTTTAGCGTCAGGTACTGACTTTGCAAATGGGTCGTTTTCTTTCTTTCCGGCAAAAGCCAACTGTGAGTATACAGTCTGGTAGCCTACAAGAATAAGCATGAATTGAAATACATGTACTAATACAAACTCCATGAAAGACAAGTCAACACTGTAAATAAAATAATCCAGTAACAAATTAGATTTTTTTCTATAACTTGGAATACCTGGAGTGTCTTCAATTTCAATGAAATGTTCATCATCAGGAGTTGATTCATCCTTGGGTAATTCAAATAAACTGATAACTGCCTGAAGTAGTTTGCACCTGTTCAACGAGAAGAGCATACAATCAACAAAAATATTTATAAAGCATTAAACTTTAAATCATTCATCTTTTAGGTAGATTTACAATTAGCTTATAGAAATCTTTAAAAAAAAAAAAAATTTAAAAGCTTAACCAGTGCTGGATAATTTCCTTCAAAATCATGTGATCAGCAATGATAACAGCTTAAAGCTGAAGACGCTCGCCCTAACATTGCAACCACTATATTGTTTACAAGTCTACTTGTCACCATGACTACTATCCAGTTAGTTTCTATGACTACAGCTGCCCAGTTATGACACTTTTTATCACCATGTTCCTAACCACTTACCAGAACGCCTCGTAGTTCTGCAGCATGGCTGGAGCCTCCGTCAGAATGCTGGTCACCCCTACAGCACAGATTTTCTGCTCGACGTCACCAGAGATTTTCTGCATGTCTTGTAGAAACAGCCTCTCTATCACCATCCCAAACATCCTAGAAATTCCAAAATACATGTATTTTGTAGCAATGATTGTAAATCTGCCTCAAATTAAAGGAGATAACTTTTATTCAAAATGTATGCGTGCAAGACTAAATTAGAATTCAGAGATATTATGATCTGATCATAAAATATTCTACCTCGGTTGAATTCCGTCAATGATTTCTATCAGCTGACTGGCTCCAATGATAGTAGCATACATTGAGAAGAATACAAGAAGACCTAAATAAATAGAAAACATACAGTGCATTCTGTAATAGAATTTTAGCATAATAGAATTTAAGTATATGCATCAATAATAAATGATACACATTATTTCTGACAAACATAATTTTATTATGCCTCTGTTTACATGCGATTTCAATAGAAGCCTTACTTTTGATGTATTTTGTAGTCTTAGAACTGGACAGTCTTTGAAACAGAAGAATAAAGATCTGTTTGTGGTATTGATCCAACATCTCCCTGGAATAAAGTTCAATCCAACCTTTGAAGCCATTTAAGTTTCTCTCCATGACATTATAATAAAATACATGTACACTTAGTCTTATTCACATATTATAAAGTGTTATAAAAGTGTACTATCAGTGTAATAAAACTTTTTTTTACATTCATGCCAATGCATCTTCTTAGATTTTTAATTTTAGTGTTTGACAGCTAAATGTAAGTCTATTTAATAAAAATCTATATTGTAATGCTAGAAACTTTTACCTTGGCATAAACTCCAACATGGAATTAAGGAGATAAAATCCTTCATGATCATTTGTCTTGGAGGCTATTAATTTTTGGAATATCCCCAGCAACCCATTCTAGTATAGAAAAAAAAAAAACAGATTAAAAAGCAAGAACAAATATGAAAATCTTAGTATTGAATTTAAATCCAGATGAAAATGATCACTAAAAATAAATGAAAGAATCAAAATCATAACCTACAATTCTCACATAACTTACAATTTTTTCTGCCTCTATTTGCTTGGGTCCCTTCTCTACATAAGCTTGTAACAAACGAACCAAAGGGGGGATGTTACCAGGCCTCTCCCATAGGGCAGGGGCCAACAAGTGGGGAAACAATGCCATGTACGTGTCGGCCACTTTCCCCTCCTGGTGGTGATCAATTAACAGAGACAGGATTTGAAAAACATACGGTGAGAATTCTGCAAGTAAATTAAAAATCAGGCATAGAGATTTCATCCTATGATACTGAATCAACCGTTTACATAGCAATCCAATATATTGAAATACATAGCAAAATTAACCTTGTTCTAAAACTATATGTACTGTAGAATCATCGTTTGTGGGGGACCAATGGTCGGGGATTTCGTGGGTCACCCTTTCCCACGAACTTACATCCCCACAAACTTTTATTTTGTTAACATATTGATGCATTAAATTATCGTATTTATGAGTAACCCATGAAATTACGTCACCACGAACAGGTCAAATTTTGCTTACATTGACTCCCACGAATGAAAGAAAAAGTGAGCAAGCTCACATACCCCACGCTCCCCCAAAACTCAAAAGTGCTGAAAATCCCGGAAAAAAAATGAAAGAATCGGAATTTGCCGGTAATATGCACATCTACACATTGTGTCCTAAATATCTGCAAAGTTTTATGAAATTCTGTGCAGCAGTTTATGAGGAGTTGCGCTGACAAACTATTCATCACTATATTCAAGGTATGGCCAAAAATCTAATTTGAAAAGTGCCAAAATTCCCATAAAAATAAAGGAATCGGAATTTCCTGGTAATATGCACATCTAAACACTGTGTCCTAAATATCTCCAAAGTTTGACGAAAATCTGTGCAGTGGTTTATGAGGAGTTGCGCTGACAAAATGTTTATCTCTATATTCAAGGTATGGCCAAAAATGTAAGTTGAAAAGTGTTGAAATTCTAAGAAAAATAAAGGAATCGGAATTTCCTGGTAATATGCACATCTACACATTGTGTCCTAAATACCTGCAAAGTTTGACGAAATTCTGTGCAGTGGTTTATGTGAGTTGCGCTGACAAACTGTTTATCTCTATATTCAAGGTATGGCCAAATGCCTAAGTTAAAAATTCGGAAATTCCCGGGAAAAATAATGGAATCGAAATTTCCTGGTAATATGCACATCTACACATTGTGTCCTAAATACCTGCAAAGTTTGACGAAATTCTGTGCAGCGGTTTATGAGGAGTTGCGCTGACAAACTGTTCATCTCTATATTCAAGGTATGGCCAAATGCCTTAGTTAAAAAGTGCGGATATTCCCGGGAAAAATAAAGGAATCGGAATTTCCTGGTAATATGCACATCTGCACATTGTGTCCTAAATACCTGCAAAGTTTGACGAAATTCTGTGCAGCGGTTTATGAGGAGTTGCGCTGACAAACTGTTCATCTCTATATTCAAGGTATGGCCAAATGCCTAAGTTAAAAAGTGCAGAAATTCCCGGGAAAAATAAAGGAATCGGAATATCCTGGTAATATGCACATCTACACACTGTGTCCTAAATATCTCCAAAGTCTGACGAAATTCTGTGCAGCGGTTTATGAGGAGTTGCGCTGACAAACTGTTTATCTCTATATTCAAGGTATGGCCAAATGCCTAAGTTAACTAGCTCACAAACGCTCCGCCAAAACTTGACGGTGAAACACATAATGAAAGGCACAGTGCACTTTAAATACATATTATAGATCAAAAAGGGCAATAATTGCAAAAAAATCTTCACATCAATATGTCTTGCATATGAGGACATTTAAATGTGGAATGAAGTTTCTAGATAAATAATGGAATCAAAATTTCTTGGCATTATAGAAATCCAAACATTAATTTGAAGTGGTTGGGGGGGGGGGGGGGGGTGAGAAATTTTCTTGAATAATAGGCAAAACTCTTTGGGATAAAATAATGGAATATGTCCTAAATATCTGCATAGGTTGACGAAACTATGTACAAAAGTTTAAGAGGAGTGGTGCTAACAAACTGTTCATCTCTATATTCAAAATATGGCCAAAAAGTCTAAGTTGGAAAGTGTGGAAATTCCCGGAAAAATAAAGGAATCAGAATTTCCTGGTAATATGCACATCTACATATTGTGTCCTAAATATCTGCAAAGTTTAACGAAATTCTGTGCAATTCTTAAAGGTATGACCTAAGTTTTTAGTGCGAAAAGTCCCTGAAAAAATAAAGGAATCGGAATTTCCTGGTGATATGCACATCTACATATTGTGTCCTAAATATCTGCAAAGTTTAACGAAATTCTGTGCAGCGGTTTATGAGGAGTTGCGCTGACAAACTTATCATCTCTATGTAAAAGGTATGGCCAAAAACCTAAGTTTTTAGTGCGAAAAGTCCCGGAAAAAATAATGGAATCGGAATTTCCTGGTAATATGCACATCTACACATTGTGTCCTAAATACCTGCAAAGTTTGACGAAATTCTGTGCAGTGGTTTATGAGGAGTTGCGCTGACAAACTGTTTATCTCTATATTCAAGGTATGGCCAAATGCCTAAGTTAAAAAGTTCGGAAATTCCCGGGAAAAATAATGGAATCGAAATTTCCTGGTAATATGCACATCTACACATTGTGTCCTAAATACCTGCAAAGTTTGACGAAATTCTGTGCAGCGGTTTATGTGGAGTTGCTCTGACAAACTGTCCATCTCTATATTCAAGGTATGGCCAAATGCCTTAGTTAAAAAGTGCGGAAATTCCCGGGAAAAATAAAGGAATCGGAATTTCCTGGTAATATGCACATCTGCACATTGTGTCCTAAATACCTGCAAAGTTTGACGAAATTCTGTGCAGCGGTTTATGAGGAGTTGCGCTGACAAACTGTTCATCTCTATATTCAAGGTATGGCCAAATGCCTAAGTTAAAAAGTGCAGAAATTCCCGGGAAAAATAAAGGAATCGGAATATCCTGGTAATATGCACATCTACACACTGTGTCCTAAATATCTCCAAAGTCTGACGAAATTCTGTGCAGCGGTTTATGAGGAGTTGCGCTGACAAACTGTTTATCTCTATATTCAAGGTATGGCCAAATGCCTAAGTTAACTAGCTCACATACCCCACGCTCCGCCAAAACTTGACGGTGAAACACATAATGAAAGGCACAGTGCACTTTAAATACATATTATAGATCAAAAAGGGCAATAATTGCAAAAAAATCTTCACATCAATATGTCTTGCATATGAGGACATTTAAATGTGGAATGAAGTTTCTAGATAAATAATGGAATCAAAATTTCTTGGCATTATAGAAATCCAAACATTAATTTGAAGTGGTTGGGGGGGGGGGGGGGGGGGTGAGAAATTTTCTTGAATAATGCAAAACTCTTTGGGATAAAATAATGGAATATGTCCTAAATATCTGCATAGGTTGACGAAACTATGTACAAAAGTTTAAGAGGAGTGGTGCTAACAAACTGTTCATCTCTATATTCAAAATATGGCCAAAAAGTCTAAGTTGGAAAGTGTGGAAATTCCCGGAAAAATAAAGGAATCAGAATTTCCTGGTAATATGCACATCTACATATTGTGTCCTAAATATCTGCAAAGTTTAACGAAATTCTGTGCAATTCTTAAAGGTATGACCTAAGTTTTTAGTGCGAAAAGTCCCTGAAAAAATAAAGGAATCGGAATTTCCTGGTGATATGCACATCTACATATTGTGTCCTAAATATCTGCAAAGTTTAACGAAATTCTGTGCAGCGGTTTATGAGGAGTTGCGCTGACAAACTTATCATCTCTATGTAAAAGGTATGGCCAAAAACCTAAGTTTTTAGTGCGAAAAGTCCCGGAAAAAATAATGGAATCGGAATTTCCTGGTAATATGCACATCTACACATTGTGTCCTAAATATCTGCAAAGTTTAACGAAATTCTGTGCAGTGGTTTATGAGGAGTTGCGCTGACAAACTGTTCATTTCTATATTCAAGGTATGGCCAAATGCCTAAGTTAAAAAGTGCGGAAAGTCCCGGAAAAAATAATGGAATCGGAATTTCCTGGTAATATGCACATCTACACATTGTGTCCTAAATATCTGCAAAGTTTAACGAAATTCTGTGCAGTGGTTTATGAGGAGTTGCGCTGACAAACTGTTCATTTCTATATTCAAGGTATGGCCAAATGCCTAAGTTAAAAAGTGCGGAAAGTCCCGGAAAAAATAATGGAATCGGAATTTTCTGGTAATATGCACATCTACACATTGTGACCTAAATACCTGCAAAGTTTGACGAAATTCTGTGCAGCGGTTCATGAGGAGTTGCGCTGACAAACTGTTCATCTCTATATTCAAGGTATGGCCAAATGCCTAAGTTAAAAAGTGCAGAAATTCCCAGAAAAAATAATGGAATCGGAATTTCCTGGTAATATGCACATCTACACATTGTGTCCTAAATATCTGCAAAGTTTGACGAAATTCTGTGCAGCGGCTTATGAGGAGTTGCGCTGACAAACTGTTCATCTCTATATTCAAGGTATGGCCAAATGCCTAAGTTAAAAAGTGCGGAAATTCCCGGAAAAAATAATGGAATCGGAATTTCCTGGTAATATGCACATCTACACATTGTGTCCTAAATACCTGCAAAGTTTGACGAAATTCTGTGCAGCGGTTTATGAGGAGTTGCGCTGACAAACTGTTCATCTCTATATTCAAGGTATGGCCAAATGCCTAAGTTAAAAAGTGCAGAAATTCCCGGAAAAAATAATGGAATCTGAATTTCCTGGTAATATGCACATCTACACATTGTGTTCTAAATACCTGCAAAGTTTGACGAAATTCTGTGCAGCGGTTTATGAGGAGTTGCGCTGACAAAAAAAGAGGACTGACTGACGGACTGACTGACTGACTGACTGACGGACGGGTCAAAAACATTATACCTCCCGCAACTAGTTGCGTGGGGTATAATTAAAATGATTCCACAGTAGTCTCTTACCTTGGATGTCTTGCTGTAGTATGTATGTGAATGGTTCAAAAAGGACTTGTTCAAACTGAACCACCGCCCCTGCATTGTGTTTACAGGTCGTCCGGATTCCCACGCACATAGATTCAAACAGGTAGTGATTGAAGTGGGGCTTACTGGGATTCTAAAAATAAAATTTCCTGATCCATGCAGACTAATGTTCTGCTTTTGAAAGAAGTTGAATTTTAGCAATAGATCATTTTGTGTGTGTACCTTGCTGACTTGACCCAGCTTTTCAGTGAGGAATTTCAGTAACTGCCCCATCAGAGGTAGCAGATCTTCTTGTAGCGTTGACATGCTTCTCATTAAGGCTAAGTGACATTGAATCAAGTGCACCATTAAATTCCATTGTATACATTATGTGAATATGTTTATATATATCCTTTTATAATTTTTCTGTTTATAAAATTTTTACTCAGATCAGTTGTATTTTTTTTACCTTTCATAACATATTCATTTTCTGATGAACCAGGATGATTCATAGCTCCTATAAGATTAGACATCAGGTCATTAACACAACCTTGAATTTGTCCATGTGTAACACTGCAAAAAATAAAAAGATAATACATTCTGCATGCTTTTACCAATATTTTTTCAATTTCAAAATTTTAAAAGTATTTTTTTAAATTGGTAACTTACACTGGGCCGCTGCCGTCCTGCTTTTTGACCATTAAGAGCCTTTCGATGGTGTGGGCAGCGTAGGAGTGGACGACAACACTGGGGATGGTCAGGAGTCGCACCAGGTGAGGGATACTGACCACCAGGGCCTCAGGGGGGAGCTGCTCAAACCACACAACATAGTAAAGTATTATTCTATACAACCCCTCCCCCAAACTTCCCACAGTAAGAATTTTTTGTAATTTTAAAAGAAATATTCTGGAATCTTCCCATTTACTCCATCCAAACACTGTGTGTCTTGTATTAATAGCTACTGAATTAAGATTTGTAAAGGAGCTTCTGGAATAGGCTATAAAATTTATTCATTTCATCTTGATTCAGAATCATACTAGTAACAAAATTTTTTCTTCCAATCAATTTAACAGTTTATAATACCTGATTTCTGAATATCATTAAGTATTTGATGGCATCTGCTCTTAATATTTGACTTGCATTAACTGTAAAAAAAAAATTGGCTTTATTATCATTACTGCTTTTCATCACATTACACAAATATCGAAATAAAGATAAATTATACAAATTTTACCGCTACATGTGTAAGTCAAGTACATAAAGTAATATTGGCAAATTTATCAACCACATGAATATTTCGTTTTTAGAGACAAATAAATGCTGCTAAATATTTCAATAAGTATAAGTATACGATAAGTAAATTGAATGGGTAAACTATACAATTTTGCAACCAGCCAAAAATAAAAAAATTCAACAATGACTTCTTGTTGAATACACAGACTATATAGGGGATTAGCTACATGTAAATGACATTCTTCAGCGTTGTTTTTATTTCACGAACAACAGGGTAGGTTTATATAAAATTGAAAGATTTAATCAATGATTACTTAAAACAAGTGTAGTTATTAAAAGTCCTACACTCTAAACATCAAATGACTTTCCTATGTGCTATTACGATGAGTGCATGTGCACCCAAGATCTTCAATACAATGCGGCGAAAAACCACTGGACGGAAGTAAATGTGTTTATTAAGTTCGCCGAAATAATATCTGCCACATCTTCAGTAAGTTCGATGTTTATTTGAATGATTTTTTAAACCAAAATGTTGATAAAAACTAATATGCATGATAATGCAGGTAACAAATACACAAGGTAAAATTAGTTACGCATGGGCAATCAAAACCCATGGCCCACGTGTTTTGATTGATGAAACATGTAGCGTTGGCGATTAAAACAGCTTTTGAACAAACACGAGTTATTATCTGCCGATTTGAATTAAAGTAAAGCGTGATAATTAAAATGATTGAATGACGAGTACTACTCATAATTACTGAAACGATCATGTACTGCATGTACATGTATGTCAACCTGTCGTAGTCAACCTATCGTAGTCTATTCTCAGATTTCCAACTAAAACATGGAGATTATTGAAAATTTCTTCACTGTTTCTTGAATTCACGGATTTATTAACACCGTGAATAAAGCGAATATTAACATGGCGAGTTATTTTCCCCCTATACAGTAGTATGATTAATAAAATATTACCATCAGGATTCTGAATGTCTGGTAAAATGTGAGCTTGATAAAAATCTGTGATGTTGACAAGGGTACTTGTTTGCGTAATTCCATGCTGAAAAGAAAAATAGCATCGAGTTTAATTTTTAAAATAAACAATCTTGTAAAAAAGAAAGGGAGATGAAGAAAGTGACAAACCTTGTGTGTTTGTGCCTTTGCTGCTAAGGACGTCACTAAATACACAGCTACATCTTTAGCCTTCCAGTTTTGTGCAGGGTTAGAGGCATACTCCTGAAAATCAAAAGCCATTTATTTCTGAACAATTTATCATAACAAGAGCATATTTGATTTCAATGAGGTCTTTATGGGGTTCATCCATTCTCCATCTATATAATTAGTAGATGTAAACACAATGACAGACCACTAACCTGCAGGAGCCCCTGGACATACTGAGAGAAGTTCTGGATGACTGGCCCCTCAAATGACTTACAGAGGGCCTGAACAAGGTCACACGCAGCTCTTCTTCTGGTGTCTACATCTACAATGTATATCAAAATTACTTACTTCATGTGAAACATAATACTTCAAATCAGAAGCAAGTCTAATGATAACTTCATGAATGACTATGATAACTAGAATTATGTCCATAGCACATGAATCCCCTGTCCATGGTTCATATAAAACATATGTATCCTGGAGGATAGGAGTCTTACCTGATCCTTTATGTCTCTCCTGATGTAAAATACATATGTATCCTGGAGGATAGGAGCCTTACCTGATCCTTCGATGTCTCTCCTGATGTACTCCTCAGTAATACATATGTATCCTGGAGGATAGGAGCCTTACCTGATCCTTCTATGTCTCTCCTGATGTACTCCTCAGTAATACATATGTATCCTGGAGGATAGGAGCCTTACCTGATCCTTCTATGTCTCTCCTGATGTACTCCTCAGTAATACATATGTATCCTGGAGGATAGGAGCCTTACCTGATCCTTCGATGTCTCTCCTGATGTACTCCTCAGTAATACATATGTATCCTGGAGGATAGGAGTCTTACCTGATCCTTCGATGTCTCTCCTGATGTACTCCTCAGTAATACATATGTATCCTGGAGGACAGGAGCCTTACCTGACCCTTCAATGTCTCTCCTGATGTACTCCTCAGTAATACATATGTATCCTGGAGGATAGGAGTCTTACCTGATCCTTCTATGTCTCTCCTGATGTACTCCTCAGTAATACATATGTATCCTGGAGGATAGGAGCCTTACCTGATCCTTCTATGTCTCTCCTGATGTACTCCTCAGTAATACATATGTATCCTGGAGGATAGGAGCCTTACCTGATCCTTCTATGTCTCTCCTGATGTACTCCTCAGTAATACATATGTATCCTGGAGGATAGGAGTCTTACCTGATCCTTCGATGTCTCTCCTGATGTACTCCTCAGTAATACATATGTATCCTGGAGGATAGGAGTCTTACCTGATCCTTCTATGTCTCTCCTGATGTACTCCTCAGTAATACATATGTATCCTGGAGGATAGGAGCCTTACCTGATCCTTCGATGTCTCTCCTGATGTACTCCTCAGTAATACATATGTATCCTGGAGGATAGGAGTCTTACCTGATCCTTCTATGTCTCTCCTGATGTACTCCTCAGTAATACATATGTATCCTGGAGGATAGGAGCCTTACCTGATCCTTCTATGTCTCTCCTGATGTACTCCTCAGTAATACATATGTATCCTGGAGGATAGGAGCCTTACCTGATCCTTCGATGTCTCTCCTGATGTACTCCTCAGTAATACATATGTATCCTGGAGGATAGGAGTCTTACCTGATCCTTCGATGTCTCTCCTGATGTACTCCTCAGTAATACATATGTATCCTGGAGGATAGGAGCCTTACCTGATCCTTCTATGTCTCTCCTGATGTACTCCTCAGTAATACATATGTATCCTGGAGGATAGGAGTCTTACCTGATCCTTCTATGTCTCTCCTGATGTACTCCTCAGTAATACATATGTATCCTGGAGGATAGGAGCCTTACCTGATCCTTCTATGTCTCTCCTGATGTACTCCTCAGTAATACATATGTATCCTGGAGGATAGGAGTCTTACCTGATCCTTCTATGTCTCTCCTGATGTACTCCTCAGTAATACATATGTATCCTGGAGGATAGGAGCCTTACCTGATCCTTCGATGTCTCTCCTGATGTACTCCTCAGGGTTGTCCTCAAACAGCTCCTCATCAGCATCTGAAAACACAGCCATCAAAACAGGCACCTGTATATCATCCAGCAATCCAAATATTGTCCAGCAATCCAAAACATTATGTTTGCTGCTATTAGTATTAGTATTAACAATAAATTATTTTTCAAGCAGTCTGGTGTACATGTATATTTACTAGTATAAGAATTCTGATAACATTCAGACTTGAGAATTAAGACTTACCTCTAAACTGCATGTTCGGAACAATAACCTTCTCACAGATACTGGCGAGAGTTGAAGGATCTTCAAACAAATGTTTATATGATGGGCGCTCAGCTACAGAAGCCAGGAACTGAATAGCATTGCTCACCAACTAGAAAAGTCACAAGATAAATGTCTTCAGGTTTCTTGAGCATTACAATGAAAATTCATTTTTAAAAATTTAAATCTATGTTTTACAAATCAAAATGCAGTTTAAAATCAATGACATTATTCCGCTTCTTGAAACACTTTTATACACATGTAAAAAAGCCTCCTTATATGATTCAAACAAGACATTCTTCATGAACATGTAACATAAACCTTGACATACATGTACCCTTATATTTTTTTACACCATGGTACTTTTCAGAGAAAACCTAACTTACATCATCATACTTGACATGTAGTCCTAACTTACATCATCATACTTGACTTGCAGTCCTTACAACTTACATCATCGTACTTGACTTGTAGTCCTGTTGAGATCAGAAGATTCCAGATCGCCGTGACGAAGGCAGGAAGCTGGGGAGAGAACTCCTCGTCATACTTCTGGGCGTAAAGCGCGACGTTATCACAGATCTGAGATTTAACCTGCTCCAGTAACCCTGCCTCTTCTTCATCCTAAACACAGAGTTAACCCTAGTAATGCTATATGTAATACAAAGTGAAAAGGCTGTGAGCTGAATATTTTTGCCTAGTTTTGAAAGAAAAAGAGGTGGTTTGTTTAAATCAAATTTATTCAGTAACAATAATAGTAATATAGACATATTATACATCAAAATGTTCAGCAGACTTTTAGCTTCTATTTCAAACATGTTATAATACAATATATTTGTATATATACACTGTACAGGTAATCTTCATCAGGTAAAAACATAAAAAAATAGATTTTAGAAGAGAAATATTTTTTTTTTAAATCAAATCAATCAATATTTTATGAGAAATAAATAAATAATTAACTGATAATTTTCTTCATTCAATTACAGAACAGGTATGTATTTTTCAACAGGTATAATCCATTTCAACAACCAATGAAAACGACTGAATTACTTGAAATATGCAGCTAATTAAATACATATAAATACATATAAATAAATAAATAACTTATAACATATAACATGAATAATACAATAAATACATTTATAACATGTCATGATAAATAGATTAGGATTTGGATTTAATGTATCCACACATAATTTTAACACCTGAACAGGTAATAATTACATACATGTATATATATTTAGGTAATCTTCAGGTAAATACAGGTAAAAACATAAAAAAAATAGATTTTAGAAGAGAAATATCATTTTTTAAATCAAATCAATCAATATTTCATTAGAAATTTATAAACTGATTAATGACAGATAAATAAATAAATAAATAAATAAATAAATAAATAAATAACTTATAACAGATAACATGAATAATACAATGAACACATAAAATGTCGTAAGAAAAAGGACAGGAAAGGAATCTAGTTATCAATGTGCCTTGTGCATTGATCCCTGTTTCAAACTTTAAATAACTTATAACAGATAACATGAATAATACAATGAACACATAAAATGTCATAATAAATAAATTCTTTGGATGGATTTGTATCCGCACATAATTTTCACATCTGAACTGAAATCTACTCGTCGACCATCACACGCGTCTTGTATGCAGCTATGTAGTGTTTGTGTGTGTGAAAAAGTTTGAAGCAGGGGTCAACGCACAAGGCAGACAGACACTTGTCACACTGATAGCTAGATTCCTTTCCTGCTCTTTTCCTCACCAATTGATTCGAGCCTCTGCCTCTCTGCCACCGAGCACACGACACAAGCACGGGTAATGTTTTTCTAAGCCTGTTCCAACGATCTTCATGGGGAAATGCTGCCCCTGCAGTCTCATGATGGGTTCTGCTGCAGTGCTAGGCCTCCCCACAGGCTTTGTACACATTCCCGGGACACATGCTCTATTAACGGACTGCACAAGTTCGGTTACAAGTTGTTTTTGGAAAACTCTGTGAAATAGGTTTCCTTGGAGTTTGTCTTGTAGCACAGGTAAGCATTCAAAGTAGCTAGAGAAATCACATGGAAAAACGCGCTTCCACCACAATGAAAATTCATTTTTTCAGGGTCCTGGCATTGAAAGTTAGAAAATTTGATCAGACCGATCTACGCCTCCCATATACTTGTTGTACGCATTAACGATAGCAGGATTTTCGATGGGTGTTCCTGTTCGTGGTGCCAAAGGGGGCTTTTGCAGCTTCCTCGATTAGAAAATCAATACGGTCATTACTTCACAAGAACAAGTTCATCATTGCACATACTGAACATGTTACCTTTGTCCATACACGGTTAATGTAAAACCAAAGCACAAACAAGTCAGTGTAAAGCTGTGGTGAACTATAATAATTGTCCATGTACAAAATGTAACCTTGTCCAAAGTATCCTCGCATCATGTCCATAACTAAGTCGTATGTAGCCCCATTTGCACTAGCAGGTGTGTCCGATTTCCCAGTATACAGTTTGAAACGTAAACAATACCCAGTCACTGCATCACACAACATGTAGGCCTTGATCCCATACTTCTTGGGTTTGTCTGGATTGTACACACGAAAAGAAAGATTTCCTTGCCACGGTACCATCCCCTCATCCAAAGACAAATGTTGGTTACGAAATCATCGAATGAACAAACAATGTTCTTTACAGGGATCCAAGTTTGTAAAGAGGATTGTACCCGCATTTCCTCGAACCTGCCCGTTGTTGTCTGCCAAATTACATCATGGGAAAAACGGTGTGGAATTCACTTGACTGTCCAGTATTCCGAAATGTCCAACTGAACCACTAATCGCGATTGTACATCATTATTTCAGCCTTGACTACGAAATCGGGAAGAAGGCTTCAGGTTTCCCTCATTTCGTTGTAGATACTGCTCTGCATAACGATTAGTTTCGTCTGCCATAGTCTGGAAATCATCATCCTTGATGAATAGGTTGAAAAAATCAAGTGGCGTACGTTGATCATCTGGCATTTCAACATTTAGTCCAGGGACGCCTGTGAAGCCCATGTCGGTGCGAGGTCCGTCACCATCTTGCCAGTTTGCCATCTTGCCAGTTTGCCATGAAATCATAAGGATTAGCGTTGTCTTCTTCATCGGAGCTGTCGGAGACTCAAATCCTTCAAATTCTTCATCACTTTCGTCGTTGTTAAATAACTCGTTGAAGAAGTTTTCATGTTGTGGTAAGAACGCCGCCATTTTGGGTCACCCATAAATAAACTTGCAACTACACAATTGTTTTAAATAACAACCAATCAGATTTTAGCTACGTCACTGAGCTAGTTTTAACCCCAAACGTATTACCAAATAAGGAAAAGGTTTTTATTAGACTTTATTTCCATTGGATGTCTAAAAATACGGTATAAAAATATGCCTGACGTAACCCGGAATATTCCGGGTTCAGCTCACAGCACATAAACACAGCATTACCAGGGTTAATATTTACTTCTTATTACTGAATAAAAGGTGAAAGTCAAAGAAGAGTCAAAGTGAAAATGTATGCCTGGCTTGATTTATATAATCAATTGCAGTATAACCAACAATAACATCTTTTTTTTTTCAAATACAGAACTTATACCTTCACTTATTGGTACCTAATTTTGATAACTTACCTGTGTCTGTAGAAGTTTATTGTCTGCACTAAGCAATGTCAGAAAATGTGTCATCCATATACTCATGTTGTCCTCAAAATGTTCTGGTAAATCCTGCAACAAAAGTCCATTGTTAACAATGTCCTGCTCATCTATTTTATGAATTGAAATATATATGTGTGGCTTAATACACTGACATTGTTTCTCCATTCTCAATCTTTCCTTTTCCCTACTGGTATTACAAACATTAATTCACTTGATATCCATACTTACCTGAAAATTCAAACTGTAGAAAATCTTGCATATAAGGACTATAGAACTGAAAACCACTTTTAATGCACTTGGATCGGATGCATGCTTTGTTGCCAGATCCATCGTAGCCTACAAAAATAAAAAAAACAGTAAGAAAACATGATGATCCATGGTAACCTAAACAACATGGTTTAGTGTGCATTTTTCTGGTAATTACAGAAGATAAACTTACATTAAAAAGTTCTGTGAAGGGCTTGGCAAAATTCTCCAAAACAAACTTGATTTCCTCCCAAAGTTTCTGGGATTTAAATTCATGTCGATATCTAAAAAAAAAAACAACAACAAAAGATTATGAAACTAAAAGGTATTTATAGATCATTCGATGATTAAGACCTTCAAAAAGTAATTATTTCTATATCACAATTTTCCAAGCTAAATCTATCAATTCATCCTTTTACCTTTTAAACAAGGAATGTGCAGTGTGAAGAATTCCATTGATAACATAGAAATCTCCCGTTTGGAATTTCTCCACCATCTCTGTGATAAGGTTCGGCCATTTGTCTGGGAAATCCTCCCTCCCTATTATACTGATAGCATCACTCAACTGAAATTGTTAAATCCAATGACTTATTCCACAATTTAGTTCAGCAATATGTACAACAATTTCATCCACATTCATGAATCATTTTCTACCCCTCAAAAAGGACAATGGCTTCCCAGCTACCCTTGATTTTTAGTAATACTTGCCTGTTTTTGAATTTGTTCTGGGCTCTTTAACATCAGTCCAACAATTTGTTGTTTGATTGTGTTACGATCGTTGTCATGAATCTTGTTTGTATCAATCTACATTAAAAGGAAAAAGGCAAAAATTACATCAACATAGAATAATAAACTGTTAGTACTTTCAGCATTAAAAGAGGACAAAGAGTAAGCATTGAAAAATAGCCATATTTCATAGCTAAGTAAACTTTTTTAACATTTACCAAATTGATTGATCAAGATAAAAATTGTTTGTTGAAAATGAAAAACCTTCTGCATTTAACAGTTGGATTACAGTCCTGTTTATAAAATATTTTTCTTCTGTCAGTTCAACAAACAAATAAAAATAACTACCACTCTCCAGTTTCTTCTGATGAAATTCTTGAATGTTACAGCAGCACTGACTCGGATGTGTGGCTCAACTCCATCTTTGTCCAACAGCGTTAGAAGCAGAAGTCCATAGTTCTGATTTGCTTCTACAGATTCCAAAAACTGCTCAGCTAGAAAGAAATCATTCAATGATATGTCCTTGTGCTCATTCACAATCCTCTCCTTGGTTGTTAATGTTTAATTTGGTTGATAATAATGACAGAAACCCAATATATCATTAATTCTGAATTATAATATTTATTTTTAAAAAACTCTCAAAGATCATCATTTTTCCTAATTGTTACAGCCACATTCACAAAAAGTGGAATGAGAGAGAGACCTACCTATATACAGCTGTACCTTTCTTTTTTTTTAGCTGTTTAGAAGAGGATGCGAAATTAAGCATACATTTACCTTTTTCCTTTCGTGTACAAATAGAAGACTTTAACTGATACATTTCATAGAGATAGTGTGAAAAATGTAAATTGTAATGTTTGAATCTCTGACTCTGAGAGATTATAAACAATGAAATATTTTTAAAGACAATTCTGTTGATGATATCCTTCTTTGTTAGTACCTTGGACACGTATAATACAGGGTTCAAAATTCACTTTATACAACTCTCAAAATGCTAGTCAGGGTTCTCCACATTTGAAAATTTAACCATGGAGGAAGCTGCGTGAAAGCGAAATGTGGCCGAAAACACAAATGCGTGTTAGACTTCCTAATCTTCGTTAATCAATGATTGGTTTTTACAATTTTTAATCTTACCCACTGCAACACAAAACAATGGAATAACGTACAATTTTTTAAGTTAAAAAAATAATACAGTTAATTCTCGATAAACCGCCACCTTTTGTAATTTAGAAATCATGGCGGTATAACGAATTTGGCGATGAATTGAATTTTCCATCTTTTAGGAAATAAGACATAGAGTTATCTTTCTTAGAAATACCATTTAGCGTTTCTATTCTTATTATCACATGTACATGTGTATATATAAAAATATTTCTATATTTGAAAATACTTCAAGTAAGTTTTTTAATGTACAATTTTGCTAAAACAAAATATTCAGTTATGAAATTAAGACAAGTACATGTGTTTGTATGTAAATCTGAACGTTTGATATTTAAAAAAAAATGCTGGGTCGATCGTCGTGATATATTGCCTATAGTACGCAAAATAAGTTCTTGAATAAATTCATTGTTTATGAAATCATTGTTAATGAAACGTTCACAATTTCTGACTTATAATTATTTTTAAAGCAAACTTTGAATTGTTTTTAAAAGCAGAGATCATCAAAATGATATCGTTATCGGCGTACTTTGCAACGACCGCTTTCTTGGCGAAGCGTTGAATTATAAATGATTTTATTAAACAGAAAACAAAATTATTCTAACAGTTCATGTTAAAATTATTGTTTATCTAATTAATTTACTTAATTGCATGTACCTTGACTGGCTTTGCATGCTTTACAACAGGGATAGCGTCAACCAATTAGCCGCGCTTCACTGACCACATGCACCTGTGGCGGTATTATCGAAATAATTGACACTTAAAAATGGACGTTTGTTGTGAAAACAGGGTGGCGGATGGCGGTATGCGAATTTGGCGTTATAAAGAGAATTTTATATAGCAGGAAAAACGTTCTTGGGAAATCATGGCGGTATTGCGAAAATGGCGATGAATCGAATGGCGATAATTCGAGAATTGACTATAATTAAATTGAAAAGGATTTATCCTGTAACTTACTACACAAATGTACTAAAATTTGCCCAAAATTGTAGTAACATTCTAAAAGAATTTTAGAATGTTTGTTGAGACATTAAGTCAGTTAACCATGGCATCCAGGCAATATATTTCGGAAATTAATAATTATAAAAATGATAGCCTGTTACAAGCATGAAATGTTTTGTTTCAATATAACTAAAACTGATGAATGGGTAGTATTTTTTAAGTTAACACACAAAGGAACATTTGGACAAGTGTCCTTTTTTTCTAAACGTTTTATTTTTCTAGATATATTTAATTTTTCACCAAGTTTTGTTTACTTCTCCTTGCCCAGTGCTAAAAATAGCACCACGAGACGTTTCATAACAATGGGAAGTAACTCTAAAATTAGGACTATACCGGTGATTAAAACTAAGCATGCTAAAACAGCGATTGAGACGTACAGTAGGTCCTATGCACATTTTATCAGAAAGATATAAAGTTAAAGCTTTAAAAACAGAGCATGGGAAATTGATTAACTACAGAGGAATATGAAACTTTATAAGAGTATTTTTTTCTGACACAGCATGCATGACAATTATCATGCTCGTATCTTGTCATCTTTTATAAACCCGTTATAAATCTAATCTATATACAGTGAACATGTTGAAGTTCCCAAAATTATTTACAACTGTATATGTGCAGGATAATAAACTCTCAAAATATTGATCATCTGATCAGCTGATTGACTCTCCATTGATTGTCACGCTTCACAACATAGCCACAGATTAACGACATGTTTGTTTGGCACAGTCGCTTTCCTTAGAGGCATGCGAGGTGCATGGCAGTCGTAGTATAAACACAATTAACTACTCAAGTTGTTAAAAAAGTAGGTGTCAGGACTAAAATGAAAGAACTTTATTCAGTAGTAACCAATATTTGCCCCCCAAATCAAACTTTGATGGAGACATATTTAATTAAGTACTTAAACAGGGGAGTATATGCTGACTTCAAAGCACTGAATATTTTCATAAGTAATGACGCCATATGTACGTAATGACGTCACAAACTGACGTAAATTTCAGTTTTTTATGAATTTTACAGAAAAATGTACATATTTCGTCGATATTTTGAGTAAAAGTCACCGAGCGCATGTGTGTTCAGGATCAATATTTTGATATAATGTGTAGAATGATAATATCAATGAATGTCAATATTGTTCCTGAACAAACTTGCGCTCTATAAATTTCAAAGCTAAAATTGTTGAAATTTTGTCCATTTTGTCCTCTTTCTGAAAAAGGATATAAAATCGGACTAGTTTGTGACGTCATTAAAACAAAAATTGTGAATACACTGCCTTGACACTATAATATTTTCTGTTAATTTATATTTCTCATACAATTTATTGAATTTTAGCACATTTCAGGAAGTTTTCAAAATTTGACTTTTGTGGGGGCAAATATATGCAATATACCGCATACAGTTCTTTAATCATGGTGGCTGTCGATTTTAACCATGGCGCAGCTCGTTTAACCATAGTTAGAATGATCTAACTGTGTCTAGGTACAAGCCCTCACCACAGTTAGAATACGTCCCATATACTTGCAATGTAGCAAATCGGAGCGGATCTGCTCCGAAACGATTTTGAAGAATATAAAAGGATTTGCACTGGAAATAACTACCAAATTAATCAAAACAAAGCTTTTTGAGATTGCTTATGCCTTTTATCCCAGAAAATAATCCATCTAAAGACAAAAATCCAATTAATTTTCTCAACGTTTTTCTCTCGCTTCAAATTTACCTGCCATGTTTACATTCGGAACTCTCTAGATTGTTCGTAGTAAATGCACTGAGTTATACTGAGTACGAGTTATCGTTCATGTTTCTTTTGCTACATTACGAATACACGGAACGAATTCTATCGTTAAACCGGGTCCGTAGGACAATATCATTTTAACGATAGAACGTTCTATCTAGTTTAACCATGGCGCACATAAATTTAACCATGGCGGGCCGCCATGGTAAAACTCCTTGTGGAGAACCCTGCTAGTTAGAATATCCAAATTGCGAGTTAAAATATTTGTAACTTGCAAAAATTTGCGAGTTGATTTTTTTCATTGTAATTTCACCCAGGAAAAAAAACCCATCTGTTTCAATCTACTTTTAGACTTTTCTCTTTAGTTAAACTTACTGTATAAATCTGCCATTTTTAAATAAACGAGCATGTGCCATTTGATGATCATGTTGAAAATTACATAGTTTTTTAAATGATGGATAGATGGCTGTTTATTTTTGAAAAGCTTTCATTTTAAAACTGCGAATTGTCTTTTGAAATTGCGAGTTCATTTTTACGGTACTTACAATTACTTGCAAGTTATAATTTTAGGGAGTTTCTACCCCTGATAATATAGTACATTCATCTCTGTTAGTACCTTGCTTTCTTACGGCGGGGTCTGGTGAGAGAGTTTGCTGCAGATATCCTCCCAGGGTCTGTAAGTTAGCGTCAGATACCTCCATTCTCTGCAGGTAATCAAATGAAAATAAGTCAATAGTATAATAGTTCCTTCAACATTTAACATAAATCCTCAGACCAAACAAATAATGAGAACTGACTTAAGAGAAAACTAAACGAAAATGAATATATAATGCTTCCTCTACACATAAATCTAACTTTCTCTTTAACATTAAACATCAACATGCATAAATCAGCTGGTTTAATAATGTTAATATACACCGTGTTTGATGAATAAACGAGTTCCCAACCTTTTTTGTTGTATATCCCCATATACTAACCGCTGGATGTAGAACCAGAAGGTGTGGGTAAATAGAAATAGTATAAAATATAGATCTTTGACTTTAAAATCAACTAAATCGTGATTCAAAAAATTCACGTTGTTCAAACTTAATAAGGCGCAAATTCGGAAGTCACCCTCGAGACTTATCATTTTAAAACAGAGGTAAATCTAAGAAGGAAAAAGTTCCGAAAAGCAAAAATATTTGTTAGCTCGTTTATTGAATATTCGTGATAAAGTTTATCCCCCCATTTTTTTTATACCCCCGTAATCAAAGATTCGGGCAAATATTTTTTACCCTGTCTGTCTATCTGTTTGTCCGTACAGTAATAATTTTGCCGGTTTGTCCGCAAGACTTTAACTTTGTCCATAAATTCCGAGGTCATGGCTCTTATTTTTCACAAGTGTATTCGCTAGCCAAGGGTTTCTGATATTCACTCTCCTCATAAGCCCTTGAATATTATGAGGAGAGTAAGAAACCCTTGGCTCTGTGAAGATGGTATTTCCTTTGAGAAGACCTTCTTCTGGTAACACAAAATTTGACCTTGTGACCTTGACCTTGTAGTTTGAACCACTTTTACCAAAAATTTCCAAACATTAACGGTGGCCATAACTTTGAAATAGTCAGTGCTAGAGCTTTCATACTTCATATGTTTTTCACTGTGACAAGACCTTGACCTTAAATTTTGACCAACTTTTAGAAAACTTTAATCTTGACCATAACTTAACTTTTGAACCGTTGGTGCTGAATAAATTAAGTATTTGTATTTTAAATTATTGAATCGAATTTCCTTAATGAATATATATGCAAATCAAAGAGTGTATTTATGACATCTAGGTGGGATAAGGTACCACTACAGGAGGTAAGCATCTTCTGTTGATCGGTCACACACGCCGTTAGAGTATTATTGTACATATATTACTTATCTATACACGTTATTTAACGGAAGATGTTTGATATGAATAATTCTTGTTAATTTTGAAGGAAAATGGTTTTGTTTTCAATTTCAAAGGATATTTCAGCATAATAAATCAATTGCTTGTAAAGTATGATTCTTAAGTGATCATAAAAATTCAATATACAACTCATAATTAAAATGTTTTTAATTATCTGCGTGAGGTAAATTTTGAAATTACAAGCTGGCATATATTTAGTGTGACACATATTACGGATTTTAAGTATAGATGATAAGAGTTGAGTATATATCCATTGATTTAGAACTAAAATCTTCCGGTACATTTCTTTATGAGTCCTAGATGACTCTAGGTTATTCTCTTTTTGCTTTTATTTTTGTATCTGTAACATATCTGAATCGAAAAGAATAATTGGAATAACTCCTTAAAACCAGAACTTGTCAGGTTTGTAAGCGTTAATTTTTTTGTATTGTCAATTGTAAATAACCCCCCCCCCTTCAACCAATGGTTGTATATATGAACTGACAATGGACAAGAGTTCCAATCTATTAAACTAAAATATATAGTCTTGTTTACAATTTATAATTAATTTCGTGTTGAAATATCATAATTAATATTCAGTGTTACAAATGAACATGGATATACTTGCATTCTTACGTACGAACACATAGTCATTATGAATGCATGCACTTAATTTCAGTGTGATTCCGGACGGTTGTATACAAATATCCGCATTATTATTTGTACACAAACGTTCAAAGTGAGTAATGAAACTACTCTGGCTGATACTATTTGCTAAAAGTGCACATTTTGGTGAGTATTTTGTCTAAAGATGTAGTTAAACACTAAATCCTATATAATATACCGGAATATATGACTTCGATGTAACTCTACAAGGTATTAATTCTATACATGTATAATAAAGAAGAATGTGAAACTCGGATGATAAAATCTGAAGAGGCAAATGCTTCTAGCGCGTAGGGGAAAAAACAGTCGAGCCATTGTTTTACCTTGTTATGATAAACTAAATATTTTTTTTCATGAATTGAATGTCCTTTATTTCTTAATGATCCTCAATATCTAGTAAAAGTACTGTTATACCATTCCTATATGTAAAAATTATTCATGAACAAGAAATAATCTGAAATAAATTCATATACTGGTTCACATGTGTTGTTTAACTTAGTGGTTGAAATAAGGGCAAATGTAAGAAGGAAAAAAAAAGAAGTATATGTATATGATGTACACACATATCCGGAGAGAGAGAGAGGGAGAGGGGGGGGGTCAACAATCGTTGATTGATTATTACGATGTTAAAATTCTCTATTTTCTGCGTTAGTTTCCGGACAGTGCACAAACAGGACATATGGCCCAGACTGCTCCAAAAACTGCGGGTTCTGTAAAAACAGCGCCCCCTGTGACGTGGTGACGGGGATGTGCCAGGGCTGTTCGGCCGGGTACGAGGGGATTCTGTGTCTTTCAGGTATGTATCTTATTTAGTGTCTACCTATATCTCTCTGTGTATGCACTAGGTAGCAGCGAGGGGGGGGGGGGGAGGAGGGCTCTTATATTCTATATTCCGGCAGATGGCTCTTAAATGGAAGAACAAATTCTAAGTTCATTACGTTGCCAAATGTATATGCAAAATAGGAAAAAATTTAAAAAATTATTTATGAATTCATTTCCTAAAATGACAATGCATATACATATATACACTATATCCATTACTCAGCATCCCTTCTTTTTTTTTTTAAAGTAGTCATCGAATATGTTAACGTTCCCGTAAATCGAGGAAATTAAAAGACCAGACATGCACTTTCAATGTCTATTAGTTTCATTTTAAGGTTCAATTTTTATTCTTTATCATAAGGATGTTCCCAGGGATCTTATGGAGAAGACTGCCTCCTACGCTGTACGCAGTGTGTAAACAACAGCTGCGACCCAATGAATGGTGCATGTTTAAACGGAACAGTGCAGACCACGGAAACAACACAGTCCGCTACCGTAACATCCACAGTCATGTCTCAACCCACCACCACCACTCCACGTACGATCCAGTATAAAATGTCACGTGATCTTTGATAAGTTCATTTTACCCCATTAAAATCTACTGAGTTACAGTTTAAAGGATTGAAAAGCACTAAGTCGTTTTAAGGTATCCGATCCATAAAAAGGCATAATCAACAAAACAGAACTTGTAAAAAGAGCTTTAAAAATTATGCATGTACGTTATAATTAATGTAGGAAACATGCTCAATTTCGATCTTAATAAAGCGTAAAAAGAATTCCACATAAGTTATGTTATTTATCCCTCCTTCTTATTTGTTTATTTCCAGAAAAGGGATTAGTATTTGACAGCCCAGCTGTTTTATTTGGACTATCTGTTCCTATGTTGGTGTTGATTGGAGCTGGGGCGTTAATATTTTTTATCATCATCGCTTTGATATGTCATACCTTATTAAATAGGTAAATCTGCTTATTAAATCTACTACAAGTTATACATATATTGAAAAAAAAATAAAAGACTTTCCTGAAATGTCCATGAAAATATAATATCTAAAGTGGAATGTAAAGAATAAAGTTTACGATTGCAGTTTGTATACCGGTATTCTTTCAGATTATGCCCTAGGAAGAAACAAGTTGAGCCAACATACCATGCTACACGGAGACGGTCTACAAGAAGGTAGGTAGTGGAACCAAAATTAACAGAAACGTTTATCTTATAATCAAACGTCATTCTCTTTTTAGCGGACAGTAATTGTCAAATATATATTTCTAGTATGTCGTTTGTTTACAAGAAATGGTCTTCCAAGCCAACCTAACGAATAGAGCGACTTCTTTTGCCACGAGTTGTGGATTATCATCCCATGATTTCATCAACTTATTCTGTGTATAACCCTAGACACAGAAAAGGCAATTCAGTTTTAAAGATATGGATATGCTGTTTCTTGGTTGCATCCGAGGATTTCTGTTGTGCTCATTCAAAGATTTTGGGAAAATGTTTAAGGAAGAGTTCTTTGATCTACATATATAGAACATTATGTACATGATTGTATGACTTCATATTTTATATTTTCGCCATTATTATTGAATCCGAGACCGGTCATCGAAAACAGGGTGGAGGATTTGTATTGACATTAAGTATAATGAAACTGAGCATCGCTTACTACCAGTACTTTGATTTCTAAAGGACAGACAAACGTTTACTACTGGATGATTTGTGCCAAACTAAGCTTCCTTTTTAAATGTTTGAAATTTAACGACCACTTAAGAAACATTTGCCGCAAGAAAAAGACATTTATTTTTGTTATTTGCATGTTAAATATCATAACATATTATCAAATTACATGTCATTTTACTTTTTACATGGACATTTATTTCTTTTTCTCTTAAGCAAATTTAACTGTTTTACAATTCAAAACACAAAACTTGCCTGAATGTATGGTTACCTTTTATTGTACCAGAAAATGTTTGTAAAAATAGAAGAAACCTTGTGATTTCTTTTAATGATTAGCACTAAATACGAGGACAAAAATACGTTTGTAAATGTATTGTACATTAGATAGGTTATTATTGTGTGTCAGTTGATTTGTCAATATTTGAACAAAATAAAAGGATGAAATGCATAAATGTAAAAATACTTTTATAAATAAAATACAAAAAATGATGGTATTCGAAGTTATTGTTTACTTATTGTAAGTATTACTTATTTATGATTATGTATTTTATTATTTGGTATTAATGAAAAATCCTATAAATTGTGATTTTTAATTTCTGTAAACTAATAATGTTTAAAAGTCATGAACTAAAATATTAGTGAAAACTATCATGAATGTGTGTAATGGGGATGGGTTATTGTACGGGCGGTGTTCAATGATGATTAATTACATGACCATGCTGTGTTCAGGATACTACATGTAAGTATCCGTTTTAATAGATTGTACAAAAAGGGAATACTAGTAATTAGATATTTAATACAGACCCCTAGGAACAGCCCTCCCCTGGTCAATAATTTTGCCGATATAAAGTATACTGTAGGGTATACTGTATCTCTATATATAGTTTATTATGTTATGTTAATTTTTTTCCAGCGAATGCAAGCACATGCATGTTTATGATGTTATGGTGCACTTCTTATTAAACATGCTCAGTTTCTTTCAACCTTTCCAGAATCGTTCGCCAAGTGAATGAAAGTACTAGTATATTTTTAAAGATTTTTTTCAAATATAATGTACTATAGAATCACAAATTTTCGTGATGATTAATTTTCGTCGTATTCGTGGTATGAAGAGGCCCACGAATTCATATCTCGAAATGTGATTATTACATTGGACAAGTACACACTGTTTTTTTTAATATTTCTTAAACCATGAATCAAATCCCTTCAAATCAGTCATTTTTCCTCAATTCACAAAAATTATACAAATAGAGGTGATGCACTAATTCAATTTTAACCCAATAATCGCAAGTCAAACAAGATTATTTCTATTTCCTCAGCAAATGGAACTGATTCATCTTTAAGGGAAAGATAACTGTATTTTTTAATCGAACACGGTCAACACCAGATATATGTCTTTTGACATTTTTTGAATGCTCATTTTTATTCTTTTTAAAAGATATTTTACGAGATGTATCTTTATAAAATTCGGTGACGGGCTTTTACATTTCACGATAATTATTAGTTACATAACGAATTTTTACGCAGTTTAAATAAAAATCAGAAATGAATCACACCGTTATCATTTTATCCGCAGTGTTTTACGTTCTTATGACCAGTTTGACCATCGATGTAATAACGTCCGTTTTGATCGAACTTCATCCGTCATTAATTTCCGCCATGGTCATCTCTGTATCCTATAACATTTAAATCTGAACAAATGGCAGAAACAGAGTCGATAATTTGTATACTATTTTGTCTCTTTCTAGGGAATATAAATGCGTACGGTAAGAAATTACAATTTTTGTACATTAGATATTTTGATTTTTAGATTGTAGCTTATATAGAATTGAAACAGATTAAATCATATCAACATTGACCGATAGTATTGTCATAATGCTGCTAGCTGCGATATCACATTTACGTTTCATATTTAACTTTAATGGAACTCAAAATTGCTCACTCCATTTTTTTCTTCTAATTTCGCTGTTTACTTAAGTATGAAAATCATCCCTGAAAGCTTACCCCTTTTCGCCCAAATCCTCCCACATACAGTAATTTACTGTCTTCATAAATCTCAACAGAAGATTGGAATCCCATCGGTAAAGAGTCGAGTTTAGATCTTTCTATTTGATCTTTTTATGCGCCCGGATCGAAAGATCCGAGGCGTATATTGTTTTTGTCCTGTCTGTCTGTCTGGTCTGTCTGTTTGTCTGTTTGTCTGCAAACTTTAACCTTCGCCATAACTTTTGAACCATGAATGATAGAGACTTCGTATTTGGTATGCCTACTCCACTATTGAAGCTCTTTCAAATGACACCAAGGTCAATGACCTTGTGACCTTGACTATGACCTATATGCTAAAAATAGAGGGTTTTTTTGCAAACATTAACGTTTGTCATAACTTTTGAACCATAAAAGATAGAGACTTCATATTTGATATACGAGGGTTGTCCCGTAGAATCGTGGACAAAGCGTTTTTCTCGAAAAGAAATGGGCGCACTAAGCTGAAAATTTCAGTAAATGTTTATTTATCATATTTAAGTGCAGGATAATTTTTTTGATAAAATTTAGGCAAAAATAATGATTTTATTATGCTTGAATGTGCACGGGGTATTGTCCTACGGCGCACGGACAAAAAACCAAGGTTTTATTAAAGAATACACAAGTTTTAATTCAAAATTCAAACACATAAGATTTGGATTAAAATTATCCTAATTCAATGCCACAATCAAGTTTTGTAGTCTTTGTAAAAATTTTAAGGCATTTGGTTAATTTTTGGCATTTTCTCGAGCATTCGAAATGGGAAAGTGGTAAACAAAACACACGAAAAATGGCGACGTTTTAAGACGTTACGGCACCGGAGAGCAGTTCCGTTTTAAATCGATGTTGTAAGGACACATTTAGAGACTTGAAATGACCATAGAAGAAAAAAGATTATAAAAGTATAACCATATCTTAAGTATACAAATGAAATAGAAGTTTTCTTAGCGAAGTTTTTTTTTTGATCGAGTCCCTGGAGAGTACGAAACATACGGACAAACACCTAAATGTAATAACAAAAGACGCTGTCACAGTAGACCGCCGATATGAAATTTTCTATTAGTTGAATGATGGTGAGAATATTGTTACATGTATATTGTCCGTAACTTACTGATATATCTTCAGAAGATCGCATGAGGGTGCCAATTGGTTCTTCGACTGTTTATGGAGACTAAAGAATGTGTATCAATGAAATTCCTAAATTTAAGTCGGACTCATCCAACTTCATTTTCAGCAAAGATAAAACGTGACGCTGTTTTAGACACTTTGACGTTATAATAGATGCGCCGTAAGGTGATACAATACATGGCATAAAATCACATAATTTTTTTATTTATGCATATATTTATCTGAAATTTGCTGTGTATATTACTAAAATATGTACTAAATAATAGTGAAAATTTCAGGACGCAGTGATGTTTATATTTTACACTAGACAACTTGTCCACGGTTTTACGGGACAACCCTCGTACATACAACGCTTATTAAGCTTTTTTGAAAGACAGCATGGTCAATGACCTTGTGAGCTTGACTGTGGCCTATACGCTAAATATAGCTTTTTTGACGGCAAACTTTAACCTCCGCCATAACTTTTGAACGAAGAAAGATAGAGACTTAATATTTGGCATGTATACTCCACTAATGAAGCCCTTTTACATGACACAAGGTCAATTACCTTGTGACCTTGACTGTGTCTTATATGCTAAAAATAGCTCTTTTGAACTTTCACCATAACTTTTGAACCATGAAAGATAGAGACTTGATATCTGGTATGCATACTTCACTAATCAAGATCTTTCAAATGACACCAAGATCAATGACCTTGTGATCTTTTTTTTTAAATTTGTTGCCGCCGGGCGCATAGTGTTTCACAAACACATCTTTTTTTTTTTTTTTGCTTTTCAGAGTTTTTAATTTTTCACCTACTTCCTAACTTATCTAAAGCCCTTTATATATTTTGTTCTTTTCGTCACGTCTACAATAACAAAATAATATCTACACAGATAATTTGGCCTTGAACCGGCCTCAAAATTTTCTCCCCAACAACGTAGCTGCCACCAATGGCAATGATGGCAACCCAGCAACCTGTATCAATATGTCTCCGACAGCAGTCGCTTCGTCATTGTTTCTCGTGGAGTTTTCCGGCGTAAGGAGGATCGATGAAGTCAACATCACATTTCCCGCAGGTAAGAGAGAGAGAGAGATTTCGTATATAGCCGGTTAACCACTTTTAAACAGTGACTCCGTGTTAACCATAACGAAATCAAGCATATTTATAAAATTTGATATGCTTAAATTACTGAAAGACAGGGTCAAATTAATAAAATTTGTGATTCTGTAAACTTCATATAACTTATAAGATTCTGTTCCTTACTTAAAAATCAAGAAGTGGCTGTGAAACAGTGGTACCATAAGTATGGCAACTGAAGGCCAAGTAATAAAAAGGCCCTAGCTCCAGCTGCTCAAAAGTTATGACCAAGGTTAAAATTTAGTTAATTTTTGCAAATTTTTTGGGAGAAGCCAACTTTTTATCCATACCAACATCTTTCAGTACCAATTTCTTACACTACATTTCCCTTAGATCACAAAAAGTTGGGAGGCCAACCAGCCTTTCCATGAACATCTCCTATAGTATTAGTAATGTTGGGAAAAAAGGGGGGCAGCCCCCCCCCCCCCCCCCCCGTTGCTACGTGCCTGTGTGTATATAAGCTTCATCAACTTAGTTTGTCAATTAGGTTTTAAAGTTAATTTATCCAAATCTGTTGGTAGTTTAAAACCATGCAGGTTGCATTTTAAAGTGTGATTTCAATTGGAGGAGGGAGGATTACACCCCCACTCACCCCACCCCCCACCCCCCACCCAAAAGAGTTATACATTTGATACGTGTGATGCTGCTTTACTTAAATGATAATGAAATGGTTATACATATATATTGTACAAACTGATTAAATATATACTTTAACCCAATGAACTGTATGGTTTTGGTAATAAACAATACAATTAAATACCTCCATTTAACAATAATTAGCTAATCAACACTTTATACATTATTAATGAAGTCAGCTTTGCATTCAAGGAATCTTTTAAAATCATTGAAATATGAGTGTGTAAATTCTAGATGGGGATCGGGAGTCAGCATTTTCAGGGTCATGTTTCAGTTCATGCAATAGATCTATTCTCGACAATATATATTTTTCAAAAATATCCAAAAAGAACGAGATAATTTATTAATTTCAAATTTAACAATTTTATGATTTTTTTTTTCTGCAGGAGCCGTGGGAAATGAGGGATTTTTCATTTCCATTTCTAATCTCTCCAGTTTATTCAGTGGACAAATCTGTTACCGCTCAAAGTTAAACACCATTCCCTTACAATCTGACACCTATCCCTGCATTGGAAAAGGGAGATATTTGACAGTGTTTAACACTCAGAGGACGGCCACCATCGACTTTGATATCTGTGAGGTCGCCGTTACAGGTATATATATAATGCAACAACTTGCTTCGTTCTTTGGGTCCTCGTAACCTGTTCTTTGGAAAGCAGGAAAGAATTTCAGTTGGGATGGGTGGGTTAAATCTTGGCGAAAAATTCTGACGATTAACGAAAAAGACAAGGGACAAAAACGTAGATAAGCTCTAAACTATTCTCTTTTACATCATTTACACCTCAAAAATTATCAAAAAGTTGAACGGCTACTTTATATTACCTTTGTTTTTAATATACTGACAAGATTACTTGAGGATTCTCAAAATTAGTTAAAAAATTGATATGATAAAGGGAACATTTACTTGCACATATCTGAAATGTCCTCATCAAATTCTAGAGGACAAATGTTACATCAAATGAACTACATGTATCTACCACGTCATATTAAGAAATAAAATGAAAAAAAATAATTCGCAAGAACTATCAGGATTTCAATTTCATTTCGAAGTCTTTCTCAAGGTCACACACGACCCTTCGTAGATCTGTAATATCTATTGGTAGTCCCTGATTGTGACCAAAATGTAACGGAATTAAAATGTGGACTTTCTCTTAATTCTATTACTTTCCAGGCTGTCCCTATCAAAGATACGGATTCGACTGTTCCCAGACGTGTGATTGCCCGGACGAATGTGATTACGAAACTGGACAATGCATTAGTTACAAACCAGGTATAAATTCATATTCAAACAAGCTAATTCGGAGAATTTGTGTCCCCCGCTTAGGGAATAAGTCGGATCCCCCTGATTGAATTTGTAGAATTATTAAATGTATACATGTATACTGAAGCAAATAAAATACATGTATGTCAATATGCATGTAAAGATTTGATTGCTTATTCTTTATTATGTGTATAGAATATTCTTTTTATATGGAATATTTATCACACTGTAATGATGATTTTATGACCTCATAAATTTTTCATTTCACATGCTGAATACTATCATTTAGTAAAAAAAAAAAAAAAAAAGGATCATCCGAGATTCGATTCCGGAACCTCTCCACGTAAAGCGAGAGAAATACCACTAGACCACGGAAACGCTGTACAGGGCGTCAAGTATATGTATACATTTATATATTCATGTTCGGTATTCTCAGAATTTTACACAATCCATGGTGTTTGATTTATTTAGCCTTTATTAAACAGTTCTAATAGATGTAATAAGAACATAAAGTCCGCCGAGAACCTGTTTTATACGCAATAACTCTCCTCATGCCCCTGTGCTAAAAATAGCGACATGTAAGACTATAAATACTAATAAAAGAAACGGGGCGGGGCACTTGGAGAGGGGTGAGAGAGGTCCTAGGGAGTTTTGGTATAAAATTACATTGCATAAGCTCAAGATCTTCTTGAAATATCGCCCGGAAATGATAGTGTTACACACAGACAGAATGTATAAATTTACGACCTTGAACTTTGACATTTTGACCTCAAAATCAATAGGGGTCTTCATTAGGCCACAGGGAGTTGTTATGTAAAATTTCATTGCAATAGCTCAAATGGTTCTAGAGATATCGTGTGGAAACGAAAGTGTTATGACAGACAGAATTTGCTTATTTATGACCTTGACCTTTGACCTTTTGACATCAAAATCAATAGGGTTCTTCTTTAGTCCATAGGGAGTTGCTATGCTAAATATCATTGCAAAAGCTCAAAGGGTTCTCGAGATATCGTGTGGAAACGAAAGCGTTACTAATTAATTAATATCCCCCACCAGGCACGTAGCATCGATTTTGAAAGTGGGAGGGGGGGGGGGCAGCCAGTGAATTTTTTTTTTTTACCTACATGAAAAAGTTGCTAAGCAACAACAAAAAATTGCCCACAGTCGAGCTTACAATACTATATTTCCTTCATATTACTTTACTTTAGTATAAAGTGGGGGGGGGGGACAAGCCTCTCAATGAACATTTTCAGTAGTAAAAGTATTGTTGCCAAAAAAAGTGGGGGGGGCAGGCCCCCCCCCCTGTTGCTACGTCCCTGCTCACTTTTCAAGCGGGGGACAACAACCCACATTTGAACGAATCAACATTAACCGTTCAGAATCTAAAATATTTATTGACTATGATTTTTTTGTTTTGGTTGTAGAAACAGATTTAACTAATGTATTTAAACACATGGAATCTGGCTATGATTAGGTAGTTCACTATCGCACCATCGAGCATCGACTCATCGGTCGACGGCACGATATTGCGATCGATGGCGCGATAACGAATACGCGATGGTGCGTTGACGATGCCACGAAAGTGCGATGAGATGGTGCGATAATGCGATGATGACGGTGCAACAACACAATGAAACAGTATTTAACATCGCTTTATAGCCATATTGTACTATTGCTTTCTCGTGTGGTTGTTATTGTACCATCGCGCTATCGCTTCATTGTGTCGTTGTATCATCGTCATCGCAATGTTCTGCAGTTGCTTAGTTGTCATCGCGCTATCAAATCATCGCCGTTGCATCATCACTTCACCACAAGTTATCAACTCAAACTTCGGTGGTGCGATGATAGTAACAACGTAACTCTAATTAAAGATCTGTAGCTGTTCTGGAAAAAAAATTGGGATAGACGACCCATGAGCTGCGCACAACCAAACTCTATGTACAAGTCATGTACGAAGCACATTGGACCGAATTGGCTTTCTGCTCAAGATGACATATTTTGTGCGCAATAAATTTACACTTTTGTCAAAGGGTGACACTGTAGCTCTCTGGTTGTCCATCACAATTTTTTAGACCAGGTAGAAAAATTCTGTCCGGATTTCAAGCAATGCTTTGTCATTTGGTATATTATTCTATATATGTATATGAAAATTGTAGATTTAAATTAAAATAAAAAAATTCATGCCACTCTTCAAAAATTAGATCATTTTAGGTCACCTGAGCTGAAAGCTCAAGTGATTTTTTCTGATCACTTGTCGTCTGTCCGTCTGTAAACTTTTCACATTTTTGTCCCCCGCTTTCGCGAAAGCGAGGGGACATTAAATCTCATTCGTCTGTCCGTCCGTCCGTCTGTCCGTCAGTCTGTCCGTCCGTCACAAAAACTTTAACCTTGCCCATAACTTTTGATTTAGTGGAGCTATGATTTTCATATTTCATATGTGTATTCCTTGTGATAAGACCTTTCTTTGGGTACCACCAAATTTGACCTTTTGACCTTGACCTTGGAGTTTAACCAACTTTTACTCAAAAATTCCAAACTTTTACTTTGGCCATAACTTTTGAATGGTAGGTATTAGGACTTTCATATTTCACATATTTATTTTTTGTGACAAGACCTTTCATTGGATACCACTGACCTTGACCTTTTGACCTTGAACTTGGAAATTTACGTACTTATGAAAAAACTATAACCTTGGCCATAATTTTTGAACGGTAAGGGCTATGGCTTTTATACTTTACATTTATTATTCTTGTAAGAAGACCTTTCATTGGATACAAAGAACTTTCACCTTTTGACCTTGACCTTGGAGTTTTAAATACTTTTTAAAAATAATAACCTTGGTCACAACTTTTGAACGGTAAATACAAGGACTTTTATATTTCACATATGTATTCTTTTTGGCAAGACCTTTCATTGGATACCAACAACTTGACCTTTTGACCTTGACCTTGGAGATTTACGTACTTCTGAAAAAAAATTTAACTTTGACCATAACTTTTAAACGGTAAGGGCTATGGCTTTCGTATTTCACGTATGCAATCCTTGTGAGAAGACCTTTCATTTCATATCAAGAACTTTGACCCTTTGACCTTGACCTTGGAGTTTTAACTACTTTTTAAAAACCTAAACCTTGGTCACAACCTTTGAATGGTAGAAACTAGGACTTTCATATTCTAAATATATGTATTCTTTGGGGATATAATAACTTTGACCTTTTGACCTTGACCCTAAAAAAATAATATCTCGCCCACAAAGACACCGAAAGCGGGGGACCACAATTCTTTGAATTTGCTTGTTATCTTCTAAGTCTTCCAAAGAACCACTGGAGCTTTAATTAAACTTGATACAAAGCATCCTTGGGTGAAAGGGGGATTAAAATGTTAAGATGAAGGACCAAGTCCCCTCACAATGGGAGATAATCTAGAAAAGACAAATATAGGATCGGATCATTAAAAAATCTTATCAAGAACCAGAGGGCCAGAAAAGCCGAACTTACATGGTAGAATCATGGGATATTGTGAACTCTAAATTGTTCAAATCATGATCCTTGAGGGTAGGGCGGGGCTACAATAGGGAATCCAAGTTTTACATTGAAATATATAGGAAAAGTATTTAAAAATCTTCTTCTCATGAACTACTGAACCAGATAAGCTGAAACTTCTAATAAAGCATTCTGGTGAAGTGTAGATTCTGAATTGTTCAAATCATGACCTCCGGGGGAAGGGCGAGGTCGCAATAGGGAATTCAAGTTTTACATAGAAATATGTAGGGAAAAAATGTTAAAATCTTCTTTCCACGAACCACTGGACAACAAAAGCTGAAACTTATGTGGAATCATCTTGGGGTAGTGTACATTCTAAATTGTTTAAATCACGACCCACGGGGGAAGGGGATCACAATAGGTATTGCAAGGGAAATAATCTGGTAAAGAACTGCATGACCAAAGTTACTCAGGTGAGTGATATGGTCCATGGGCCTCTTGTTTTCAAAGTACTACAGATTCTTTCAAGAATCAAATGTCTCTCAAGTGCAACCACCAAAGCACTTTGAAATTGATCAGTAATATGCACTGAAAACTACTGAAACTATACTGTTATGTACCTTGGAGGATTAACGAATGTACCGTACATATTATAGTCTGTGACGTCACTGGACGCTGGGGAGAAGACTGTAAGGAGGTGTGCGGATTTTGTAAAAATGGCGCGGATTGTGACAAAACTACAGGGGCGTGTCCATCAGGCTGTGCTGCTGGATACAGATCGAGCACGTGTACAGTGGGTAAGTTCATTGTAACCCCTTTTAAAGCAACATTTATGAATTTCCCTTCATTTAAAGCTATCGTTTACTCAAGTAAAATTTTCTTTTCTAAATTGATCATCAACACCTTATCAAACAGCTTTATCAACTGTTACAAGAAACCGACATGAAAGTTTACAAACTTATTTTACATTCTATGAAAATTAGAGAGAGAGAGAGAGAGGGAGATGCAAAATGGTAATACAAATTTTTATACCTTTTAAGAATGTATATCCGGTACCTTTGGTGAGGACTGTACCATTAGTTGTGGTAATTGTGTCAACAGCCGCTGTAACCCCGTGACAGGGGCCTGTGACAGCGCTGGATGTCAGACCGGCTTTGTAGGGCCTACTTGTTTTAACAGTAAGTTTTGCTTCTTCAAAATACACTATCATTATATCATTTTGAAGTTGGGGCTTTGCTCATATATATTTGTTTTTTTTTTAAATTGGTATCTAGGATTTTGAACTCAAAAGTTTTTTAATGAATAAATAATGAACTAGAAAATTAAAATTTTGTCTTATATATTTATGGTTCTTTTTTTATTATATCATGTATACTCAACAAAAAAAGAAACGCATATTCAGATTAAATATGAAAATCTGAGTTTTCAGTTTAACCTTATTTTATTATGTTCCCCAAACGGAGTTTGGGAACATATTGTTTTTACTCGGTTTCTTATTATTATTATTATGTTCCCCAAACGGAGTTTGGGAACATATTGTTTTTACTCTGTTTCTTATTATTATTATGTCGCCCCGAACGAAGTCGGGGACGACATATTGATATTGTACGCATGTTTTTTTATCCAGGCTGTTTCTCGGAGATGGCTGGGACAATCTTCCTGAAACTTTCCTTCAAGGACGATCACTGGTTGTAGTTGTGCAGTGAGGTCGTTCAGTTCCAATATGTCTACCGTTGCCATGGAAACCTGTAAAAAGCGACAAATTTTGTCCGAGAGTGTTCTCTCTGGTCCCTTAAACGTTCGTCATGAAACTTTTCTTATTTTAATGATTAGTATCTGTAGTTCTGCAACTCGTATTTAAAATTTTCATATAATCGATTATTGCCATGGAAACCAGGTGAAAGTTAAAATTCTTTTATTTCGATTTTCTCAATAACTACTCAGGCAATCGTTTTGAAACTTTCAATGTTTATTCCTTGCAATGTGTCAAAGTGATTTCTACTTTCAAAATAATTGTAATGAGTCGCTCACGGTTGCCATAGAAACGAAACAGAAAAAAAGATTCAGATGTACACATGTGTTCTCCAAGGTCTAGGTCAAAGGGTCAAAGTTCGTCGTATCCAATAAAAGTTCTTTTCACAAGGATTACATATTTGAAATACGAAAGCCCTAGTACTTACCGTTCAAACCTTATGGCTATTTACTATGTTCAAGACGCCCCCCCCCCCCCCTCTTTTTATGAAGCACACAGCCAAGTAGAATACACAGATATAACATATACAACTTACAAGTAACTTTTTAAAATCTTCATTCATAAAATTCAGTTCCCGTCATGTGATATTTTGCCATCATTCATTCTCCTTCTGTTTTGTCTCTTGAATTTATAAATATTTTATTTTATCTATATAAAAAAAAATAACGATTGTCAGCTGCATTTATTATCATTTCGCGTTTTCTTGTATATCTATCACTTGTATATTATTCATTTCATAAGATAGTGCAAGTATAAATTAAAAAATTGGTACGTCATTTCCATAGTTTTTATTCATTCATAAATTCTTTGATCCGCTCCTGATGGTTCGCAAAGCCTTGATCACCACTGTATACAAAACATTCATCTCGCCGAAAATGTTCATGATTCCGCTAAACTGAGAAAGTTCACACATGATTTATTATCTCATAACACACGTCAGCTCTCTGCAATGCAGAAATGCTCGAATTGATGGTGGCATGTCAGATTCGTTTTTCGTTAGAACCTCTAAAATGAAAGTGAAAGAGGGAAATTTCAGAGGTCTCACTGGCGTTACAATACACAAAATAATTCGGCTGATCTTCTTCATAAATTACATTTCCCAAGCTTTTATCATAGGAAAGATACTGCCAATTAACAAGTATGAGGCTCAGTTCAGTACATCTGCCAGATTTCTTTTATGCAAGTCTGCAAATTGAGGAACTTGTAATTTTCCTGCACTACTTTCTTCTCCTACCGATTCTAAAAATAATGAGTGGGATGTACCGAATTAAGGTCTTCCGTTTCCAATGGAAAGGACTGATATAACTCAATGGTTGTTCAAACTTAGCTTATGGACTTTTGTTTTAGTGATGATAAAAATGAAAGTCTTGTCTAAAACGGGGCGACATATGCTATTGCTTGCAATAGCAGACTTTTAGTTATGTTCCCCAAACGAAGTTGGGGAACATATTGTTTTTACTCTGTTTCTTATTATTATTATTATTTTTCTTCTTCCTGGGAAAATTTTGTCCACGAGTGATCTTGTTAACTACACATCCGACTAAGGTAAAATGTTTTTAGGGTTAGTAGGCATGTTATGTAGAGTTGCCGAACGAAGGTCATTTTGCGCGCACGTGCTTGCAAGAGCGGGCACGTGCAACACGTGAAATGACCAATATAATGAATCCTACCGTAACTTTTGTATTTTTTGATGAAATGTTTTGAAACTCATAATATAAGGATATATTAGTAGTATAAATAAGATGACGTGGTCAATATGGCAAGTTCTCACGCGCATGCACGTGCGCTTCCCTCTGATTGGCTGAAACTAAAGTCTCAATATCTTTCTTGTTTCTTGTCATAATCTTTTGAAATTTTGAACATAGTCCTATATTATAAAGATCTACAGCATGATATATAAAAATTTTCATGAAAGCATGCGCATGCGCGTGTGCTGTAATCTGATTGGCTGAAAATTTAAATGGCTATATCTCCTTTGTTTTTTGACGAAATGCTTTGAAATTTAAAACATAGTCATGCATTAGGATATACTAAAATATGATATAGAAAAAAAATCATGAAATCACGCGCATGCACGTGTGCTGCAATCTGATTGGCTGAAACTTTACATGGCTATAACTCCTTGGTTTTTTGACCAAATATTTGGAATTTTAAAATATAGTCACTCATTTTGATATCCTTCAATACGATAAAGATAAAAAATTATGAAATCACGCGCATGCATGTGTGCTGCAATCTGATTGGCTGAAACTTCAAATGGCTATACCTCCCTTGTTTTTCAACCAAACAGGATGGGATTTAGAACATAGATAAATATAAGAGACTCCTACAAGAAGGTGAAGTCATTATGCACGTGCTTACACGTGCGTGCAAGTCCGTGCACGTGAAATAAGTAAAATTAAAAATACACTCGAATGAGTGCATTTTAATGCTTTTGGATTAAATGCTTTGATATTAAGTATATTAAAACTTTAGGTATTAAGTTTAGAAAAGATAATATGGTCGTTACGCACATGAACACGCGTGCAATGCCTATTTTAAAATATATTTTGGTTTTTCCGGGAAGACCTTGATTAAGTCTAAATTCCATAAAGTATTTCTTATTTGATAGAGATTACAGGGAATATGGCACCAAAAGGGAGTTGGGGAGCGTTTGGGGAACATCTGTAACGGTCCCCGTTACAATTAGCACTAGTTATTATTATTTTTCTTCTTCTTCCTGGGTACTTTTTTGTCCGGGAGTGATCTTGTAAACTGTTCATCTGATGTAGGTAAAACCTTTTTAGGGTCAGTAGACATGTTATGTAGATTTGCGGAATCAAGGTCATTTTGCGCGCACGTGCTTGCAAGAGCGTGCACGTGCAACACGTGGAATGACCAATATAATAGATATAGCCATAACTTTTCTATTTTTTGATGAAATGATTTGAAACTTATAATAAGAAGATATATTAGTTGCAAAGACATGCTGACATGGTCAAAATAGCAAGATCTCGCGCGCATGCACGTGCGCTTCGCTCTGATTTGCTGAAACTAAAGTCTCAATATCTTTCTTGTTTTTTGACAAAATCCTTTGAAATTTTGAACATAGTCATACATTATGAAGATCTACAGCGTGATATATAAGAATTATCATAAAAGCATGCGCATGCACATGTGCTGCAATCTGATTGGCTGAAACTTTAAATGGCTATAACTCCTTTGTTTTTCAACCAAACAGGATGGGATTTAGAACATAGATAGACATAATGGATCCTTACAAAAAGGTATGATCATCATGCACATGCATGCACGTGCGTGCACGTGAAATGAGTAAATTTAAAAATACACTTGAATTAGAGTATTTTTTAAAAACTTTTGAATTAAATGCTATAATATTTAGTATATTAAAATATATAGATAGTGTAGACAAGTTGATATGGTCATAACGCACATGCATTCACATGCGCACGTGTGCAAAGCTGAAATTTAAATATACTTGGTATACTTCTAGGAAAACATTGTTAAAGTCTAAAATGCATAGAGTTTGTTTTATCTAATGAAGCATACCGGGAATATGGCACAAAAAGGGAGTTGGGGAGCGTTTGGGGAACATCTGTAACGGTTCCCGTTACAATTAGCACTAGTTATTATTCTTTTTTCTTCTTATTTCTTCTCCGGTACTTTTTTGTCCGCGAGTGTTCTCAGAAACTGTTCACCCAACTGAGCTAAAACCTTTTTAGGGTTAATAGGTGTATAGTGTAGGTGTGCGGAACGAAGGTCATTTTGCGCGCATACGCGTGCACGTGCGTGCGCGTGATATGAGTGAAATGACTAATATACTTAATATAGCTATAACTTTTACATTTTTTAATGAATTGCCTTGAAACTCATTATATAGTGATATATTAATAGTGTTGATAATGTGACACTGTCAAATTAACACGAACTCACGCGCATGCACGTGCGCTTCGCTCTGATTGGCTGAAACAAAAATCTCAATATCTTTTCTGTTTTTTGACGAAATGCTTTGAAATTTAAAACATATGCATATTTTAGGATGTCCTACAAAATAATATATAACAATTGTCATGAAAGCACGCGCATGCACGTGCGCTGCAATCTGATTGGCTTAAACTTTAAATGGCGATAACTCCCTTGTTTTTCAACCAAACAGGATGGGATTCAGAACATATATAGACATTATGGACTCCTACAAAGGGTATGGTCATCATGCACATGCATGCAAGTGCATGAACGTGCGCTTTGCTCTGATTGGCTGAAATAAAATTCTCAATATCTTTATTGTTTTTTGAGGAAATGCTTTGAAATTTAAATCATAGGCATGCTTTAGGATGTCCTACAATATGATATATAATAATTTTCATGAAATCGCGCGCATACACGTGCGCTGCAATCTGATTGGCTGAAACTTTAAATGGCTATAATTCCCTTATTTTTCAACCAAAAAGGATGGGATTCAGAACATAGATAGACATTATGGGCTCCTACAAAAGTGTATGATCATGATGCACATGCATGCACGTGCGTGCACGTGAAATGAGTAAAATTACAAATGCACTGGATTAAAGATATTTTTAAATACTTATGGATTAAATGCTGTAATATTTAGTATATTAAAATATACGAATAGTGTAGACAAGATGATATGGTCATTACGCACATGCATTCAAATGCACATGCGTGCAATGCTGAAATTTGAATAAACTTGATATACTTCTGGGTAAATATTCTTAAAGTCTAAAATGCATCGTGTTTGTCTTATTTAATGAAGCTTACAGAGAATATGGCACAAAAGGGAGTTGGGGAGCGTTTGGGGAACATCTGTAACGGTTCCCGTTACAATTAGCCCTAGTTATTATTATTATTATTATTCTTTTTTTTCTTCTTTGTTCTCCGGTACTTTTTTTGTCCGCGAGTGTTCTCAGAAACTGTTCACCCAACTGAGCTAAAACCTTTTTAGGGTTAATAGGTGTGTAGTGTAGGTGTGCAACACGAAGGTTATTTTGCGCGCATTCGCATGCACGTGCGTGCGCGTGAAGTGAGTGAAATGACTGATATACTTAATATAGCCATAACTTTTACATTTTTTGATGAAATGCTTTGAAACTCATTACATAAGGATATCTTAATAATGTTAATGATATGACACTGTCAAATTAGCACGAACTCACGCGCATGCACGTGCGCCTTGCTCTGATTGGCTGAAACAAAAATTTCAATTTCTCTTTTGTTTTTTGACGAAATAGTTTGAAATTTTTAACGTTGTCATGAATTAAGACATCCTTCAATATACTATGGAAAAAATTTCATGAAATCACGCGCATGCACGTGCGCCTTGCTCTGATTGGCTGAAACTTTAAATGGCTATATCTCCTTTGTTTTTTGACGAAATGCTTTGGAATTTAAAACATAGTCTTGCATTAGGATATCCTGCAATATGATATACAAAAAATTTCAACAAATCACGCGCATGCACGTGAGCTGCAACCTGATTGGCCGAAACTTTAAATGGCTATATCTCCTTTGTTTTTTGACGAAATGCTTTGAAATTTAAAATATGTTCATGCATTGGGATATCCTACAATATCATGTAGAAAAAAATCATGAAATCACGCGCATGCACGTGTGCTGCAATCTGATTGGCTGAAACTTGAAATGGCTATAATTACCTTGGTTTTCAACCAAACAGGATGGGATTTAGAATATAGATAGATATAAGGGCCTCCTATAAGAAGGTATGGTCATCATGCACGTGCACGCACGTGCGTACATTTGGAACGAGTGAAATTAAAAATACACTTGAATGAGTGATTTTTTATACTTTTGGACTAAATGGTTTAATATATAGTATATTTAAATATATAGAAAATTGTAGACAAGATGATATGATCATTGCGCACGTGCATTCACATGCGCACGCCTGCAATGTTAAAATTTGAATATAATTGGTATCCCTCTGGGAAAACGTTGTTAAAGGCAAAAATGCACAGATGTTGTCTTATTTAATAAGGCTTACATGGAATATGGCACCAAAAGGGAGTTGGGGAGCGTTTGGGGAACATCTGTAACGGTTTCCGTTACAATTAGCACTAGTTAAAAGTGTTTTAGAGTGTGTTCTGATAAAAATCAAACATGTCCTGTTCCAAATTGAAAAGTCAAGTTGATGTCATTTTCAGCGCACCTAAATTCAAGGGGCATAATAATATGTTCTGTGCAATGTCTCAGTCCTAGTGAGTTTCCAATGTACGGTTGTCGTGGACAAATACCAGCTCCTCCCAGTCTCTTGTGAACAATTTGTGAACTTTTATGCTGATTTCTTCAACCAGCAATTGTAGCAACAGTTTTTACAGCAGTTCTGAATTGATTGTTAAAGGGGGGACTGATGGTCTTGTCTGGGTGTGGTTACCCGCTGACGGCCAGTTTTTGGTCTGTATTTCATGTTCTTAGTTGGTGGAGACATATGTTAAACCGCTGCAAAGCCAATTGATGTACACTAAATGCAATTGCAACCTCCTGTTGCGTAGCTCCGGTTATCTTCCTAATTAGCCCGTGTTGCGCTCATCTTTGTTAAGGCATGACATTGCAACATCAATATTTTTATAAAATCTTAAATGTGGGTTTAATAGGAGTGTTTATTGTTTCTCTAAATTCAAAATATCAATGAAAATAGACCACCGGTTTACAAGAAATCATGAAAAACACTATTTTCATAAACATGATTATTCAGGGGAAATAACTCAACACTTTGGGTTTAAAAATCGATGTTGTTCTTTAAATATATCACAGGTATCCAATGATAAAAAAAGTAGTTGTTCCATATACTTTTTCAAATTTCTTTGATGACTAAAACAATATGCGTTTCTTTTTTTGTTGAGTATATATGCATTAGGCACTTGTTTCGTAAATAAATTTTAAGCCATAGTATAATAATTATAATATAAAAATAATAAGATATTATTCTATGGATAAAAATTTATTTACGAAACAATTGCCAATGACATTAGGTCATAAATTACTTTAGTTAAAACATAATTGTGATTTTAACAGCGATGATGAGAATTCATAGGACATGTATTATGATAGATACATCATGAGGTGTAAATGATTTGTTGAATTCAGCAATGTATCTTTAGTTAAATCTCAAGTATTTATGTGTTAATTACTATAACCAAAGGATGTCTTTAATGATTTGTGTCTATTTCACAACTGGTTTGTTCACTACGGGAGCTGCTATAAGACATATTCTTGAGATTTTCTTGAAGAAAAAAAAAATCGTTCCCATGAACTAAAATTCATTCCCACAAAATTTAAGTTTTAACGTAGGTATGAATTTCATTTCGAGAAAACGAGTTTTTCATGGGAACGATTTTAATTTTACGGGGACGAGTTTTACTTCGTAGGAAAGAATAAAAAAATATATCTCAAGCGATATGTCCTATAGCATCCACTTTAAAAATGACTTATAATGAGTAAAAATATTTTGATATTTATGAGTTTGAGTGCTGCAAATATCTATTTAACTTATATTTCTACTCCAATCATTCAAACAGTCAACAATTTTAACAACAATCTACAAGATAACTTGCTAAACACGTGGGAGGGAAATGTAGCGACGGGCTCGATCACGTATGCTGTATCAGGCTTATATGACAACAACCTAGTTTCTTGTGCCTACCAGAACGCCCCTTTCTCCAACACTATCGGTTCTACAGTATTTAATTTTCAACTGACAACGGAGAGAGTACTCAGAGAAATAACCTTAACATTTAGTACCCAAGGTAGGAATGAAGACCAGAAATCTAAAACATGAAAAGGACCACTTGCTGTTAGATAAAATTAGAAAAGACATTAAAAAGTCCATTACTCTTTGCAAAGAATCACAAAATGTGCACATGATGAACAGGCAAACTCATTTTAAAGTAAAGCTTTGAAAAAAAAACAACCAACAACAAGTATTAAACTGAATATTATGCAAGTTTTATCTTTACCTTTTTTCACCTGAACAGCAAGTGCAGCATCCAATTATGCCGGATTTACCGTATCTATATCTGACGGCACCAATCAACAAACCTGCTTTACCTGGACCTCGACTGGTGTCCCGGAGTACGTACAAACCATTCCTTGTGTGGGCCTGGCAAAGTCCATGACCATCACCAATGAACGAAGAAGTGGAGTGACATATCCCTCAGCCTGGGGACCCAATCCTGGTCTAGGATTTTGTGAGGTTTTGGCGACAGGTACTTTTCGAAATTTTAAATTAAAAATATGTGGATCAGTACATAAAAAGCATCCCCTGCCGACCAGTCATACCTGCCGTGTGCACCATTGGGAAATAAAGGAAAAATCCATCAACAATATTAGTGTGTAATTGATGGTTTAACACTTAGTGTGAAATACGTCAGACTGCATTTGACTTAATGATACATTGTATTTGCTGAGAAGGTCAATGTATCGACCATAGAACTTACGAAATGATGACTTAAAACGAGACTGCTGATATTCTTGTTTCATCAACTTGTCTGTCAATATACTACCCTGTTTTTGCACACTGTATTTGTGAAGAGTAACGATTTGGAATTTGTAGAACTTACTAAGCCTGCAACGTATTTTATTTGTAAAGATGATTGAGTGTCTGATTGACAATATCTATGTGGTTTTCGAAAAACCAGGTTTTCCAACAATCTTTTAGAATTCCCATGAGTACCAATTGCGCCCCGTTATTAGCAGACCTATTTTTGTATTCATTAGAAGCAGAATTTGTCCAAATCGTTTACGTAAAAAGAAGAAAACAATTGTTGTTGCCTTCAACTCGACATTTATATATATCGACAACGTACTGAAAAATTGAAAATAGACAATGGTTATTTTCGTGTCGAAACGATAGATATATCCCGGTTAGCTTGAGAGAAAAAAAGATACCACAGAGTCTGACAAATCTGTTTCATAATTTTAAATATTTTACTGGGACCTGTCGTAGATTATCTCTAGTTATATTGATAAGGAATTGGTACCATGGTAACATTATTTACATCTTACGAGAAGAAAAATATCATCCAAATCATAAATCCAATTTTTTTAACTACAGGTTGTCCAGCGGGAAAATATGGCGCTTATTGTGAAAAGTCGTGTATTTGCCAGGTTTGTGACTATGTCACTGGGGCATGCCCTAACATCGATCAGAGTAAGTTGGTTTGGATTTTACCTTATTAATTAATTAAACAACAGCAATAACCAATCAGAGCATAAATGATTCTTTAAATAAAGCATTTTATCCACCATTAAGAGAAACCTGACATAAATGAATTTTAATAAAAAAATGATTGACTTGATTTTTTTTCGATTGCAGATTGTAGGAATAGAATGTACGGCGTGAACTGTTTAGAACAATGTGGGAACTGTAAGGATAATGAGGCCTGTAACATAGAGACAGGGGCGTGTCCTAATGGCTGTACCGCGGGCTACAATGGAACACTCTGTAAAGACGGTGAGTTTTAATTCAGTCATTTTTTAAGATGTTCTCTCTGTCTGGAACTTGTCTTTTATTCTCTTGAGATCACATACTGCATATTGTTTGCTTTTTCCATCTGCGGGTTGCAAACTAGATTTGATTCAATATAGCAAAAGATGGCGAAACGACGAGTACTTTTGTGCAGTGAAAACAAAGAGAACTAATCGAGACCTAGCTTAGTCCTTAAAATATTGATAAACATTACAAAATAAGGATTGTTTATATTTTCAAAAAAGATCCATGAAAAGATATATATATATATATATATATATATATATATATATATATATATATATATATATATATATATATATATATATATATATATAGTATAGATGGGAAACAGATAATTTGATAAGAAGCCCGTTATGCTAAAATTATAGATATATTAACAATATGTATTTCCATTTCATTGTGAAATAAAATTGTTGATTTAGACTTTAAAAATGCCTGGCAGGACATTTTTGCATATTTGGCATCCTTAGCGTCGGACTCAGAAAATTGATTTTGCAGTCATGTTCTCAGCCTAATTTACATTGTAAAAACTTTCAAAACAGATGGAAATATATATATATAGATAGATAGATATATTAACAATATGTTTTCCCATATAGCTTGCCTGGCAGGACATTTCGGAGAAAATTGTTTGCAGTCATGTTCTCAGTTTTGTAAAAATAACAGAGTTTGTGATTCCGTGACCGGAAGTTGTCCAGAAGGATGTTCCCCTGGATACCTAGGCTCCACGTGCAATCAACGTAATTCTCTACATTTATCATATTTCATTAAAATGAAAAAAATGTGGTGTATGAATGTATTCCAAAAGGCGGTAAAGTTAAATAATTATGGTTTTTGAAGTAAGTGTATAAAAATTGATTACAACTCAGTGAACAACTGTTGCCTTGTGTTACTGTCAAACATGGTGAACAGGTAGGGATTAGTTTGACCGTATGTCCGTCTGTAAAGCACTTCGCAAAAAAATTTGATATCTGAAACTGACAAAAATGTTCCTCAAACACTTGTTTCTTTAAGCATTTTGATAAATCTTCGCAGATTACGAAGATCAACCTGACAAATGTTATAATTTATTTATAAGTAAGGCTGAGTCTCTCAACAAATAATCGTTGAGTAATGGACATTCCAAGACACACCAGTTCATACAAAACTTTGTCTACGAAGGCTTAAAACAGAAAGTTATAGCTTAAAGTATTGCACATTCGTACACACATCATCCATACAAACTTGGTCTGTGAGGGTTCAAAATCTTTTAATGGACATGTTTTAAACTCTTTAGTCTGGTTGTTAATTCAGGAAATTAAGTGATATCCAAAAGGCTTGTCTTATATTGTATATGTCAAGAAATATCACCTATATATGTTTCAAGTGATCATAGGGTTCTCCGTTCCTTATGAATGGATGTGTTCCAACAACAGGAAATGGAAGTAGGTGTGCATGCATAGGTGCATTACTAGTATTCAGTTTGATCGGAATAAGACACACTTGCTTACTTGGTAATGGACCAGTGTACTCTAAAAGTTTATCTGGAAATAGTTGATCATGTGTAAGTCGGTTTTATTGAAAAAAAAGGCCAAAATCCAGCATCTAAAGAATCTTTCGTAGTGTAACTCCCTATTTTCTATAATCCGTGTCATCCTTGCAAGTTTAGGCAATATTAAGTTAATAGTTTCTAAAGGATATGCGCCAAAAACTTAAACCTGATCAATCATTAGAAAATGTTGATCAGATCCAGCATCCAAACCTGTTCGATAGTGTGCTCTAGACGAAAAATCCATTCAAGCTCGGTTTCAAAAAGGATAACAGTAACTTAGAAATGGACTCGAACCAAAGCCTTTTAATTGGCCTCTCTTCCAAGAAAATAAGTCAGATTCAGCATTGGACGTCTTATAGTGTGTAAGATTCGATGCATCATCCATACAAGTTACAGCAATAATAAGTCCAGATATGACAGTAACTTGCTTATAAACTTGTTCAAAAACATGAACAGGGTCACCGTCCCAGGATATATAGCAAAAGATCATCTTGTCTTCGTTGAGATGTTGTATAAAGCAACTCATACTATACCCTGTTGTGATAATCTGTTGTTTTAGATCATATTCTTTTATAGCCCCAATTTCCAAATCCTAATGCGTTGTGTCAAAATTAAATCCCGAATTTTTATCTATTTCTCAAACAGCGTGTGCTTCTGGTAAATATGGCGACGGATGTACGGAGACGTGTGGTAACTGTTTAAATGGTGCCGTGTGTAACCCGGTTAACGGGAGTTGTATTGGAGGCTGCTCCCCGGGGTACGGGGATTCACCGCTCTGCAAAAATGGTACATTATTTCAATTAATCCAACGGCATACTCTGTAAAGTTTTACAATTATAACCCATTCTATATATTTAACTTTTATTAAAGGCTAAATGCATTTTATTAATCTGTAGCTTACATAATTAAGTTTTATTTATCTCAAACTAATGCTTTTGAAATACATGTCCATTGGTGTTTCATTTTTCAGCATGTGAAAATGGCACCTATGGTCAGGATTGTCTTAACAACTGTAGCAGAAATTGCCAAGACAACGCATGCAATTACGTTAGCGGAATTTGCACCAAGGGATGTATTATAGGATATCAGGGGGATAAATGCTTAAGTGGTATCCATTTCATTGAAATTAACATAACATTATTGTGGATATATAATCATATTTTGATACTAGTATCAATTTCTTTGAAAATAACATTTAATGTTTGTGGATATGTATTTATTACCATTTACTTCTTTGATGAGAAAGGTTTAAAAATTTATAATGCCAAAATTGATTTATACTAGTTTATATAGAAAGACCTGTTGTCGTGCAGTATGTGATTTCATTGTGCAAAAAATGTAGAATTTTCGAATAATGTCTTGCGATCTCTTCTCCTACTTCTCCTACATATATAATACGATCATATTTTGATCTCTTCATAATTATACCTGTATTGCTATTTATTTCAAGAAAATGTTCCTATTGCTTAGGCTTACTTCATCGTCACTGTTCATAACCATCGTTTAGCTGAAAGCATGGCTGATGTTTCAAATTGAATGTTTAATTTTTATGCCAATTCGCAAAGTCGGTGGTTCTGAGTCTGCTAGTGTCCACGTGACATTTGACAAACTCCATCTTTTTTGAGGGGGTCGGGGTGCTTGCTCCTTCTCTCTCTCAGAAGCGTCAATCAAATTGAGGATTTAAAAAAAAAGATATATAAAATGTAAAGACAAAGAAAACTTTTGACACAGTACACATGGTTCTTGTCAATAAAAGGCTTCGTGCAATTAGCCAAAAGATGAGAAAAACATTCTAGATTTGTTTCTCCGAAAGACGTCGCTGCAGTCAGCTCGTAAAAATGACTGAAATATTTCGGTCAGTGGTCCCATACAGCAAAGAATGGAATCAGAATCCTTGATGTTATCAAAAATGTGTTTATGTATGCACAACACAAAGTATTTTTAAGAAATATTATTCCCCGATCATGACAAGGAGAACACGGCAGGTGTGATCGGTCGGCAGGGGATGCTCACTCCTCCATGGCACCTGGTCCCACCTCTGCTCCTATTTTGTATTGTTTTATGGACTTTTGAGCTTAAATACTGTTCGTTATCTCCATATATTTCACGTATTAAAGAAAGCTTTACTTTGAAAAACTATAGACATATTTTAAGCATGCCATTGAATAAAAAGTTATAATTGTATTTTCTAAGATATTAGAAGTTCCTTTCTAGAAAAATACATTCATTTTTCTGTAAAAAAAACAAACAGATTTTTTCTTTCGTACATAGTGAGATACTGCATGGAATAAAAATATTAAAGGATTTGAAAAGCTTTCTTTAATAGTATATTCCAAGAATGAAAAAAATTATAATCCTTATCAAGGCAAATCTATTGGTCAACAGTACTGACCACGGAGACAAGCAATGGTTTTCCCCTTGTTTCTTTTAAAGCTTGCCTCCTTTAAGTGAACCATTTTTGTAGTTCACCAGAATTCTTTTACAATGTACCCACTAGTTTTCACTTTCAGCATGTGATAATGGTAAATACGGACAAGACTGCAATGAAACTTGTAGCAGAAATTGCCGAGACAACTCGTGTCATATCGTTAGTGGAAATTGTACCAAAGGGTGTATAATAGGATATCAAGGGAATTTCTGCTCAGCTGGTATCAATTCCAATAATCTATTGTATTGTATTTAGCCCCTCCTGAATTTTCCGATTTTGATAATAACCATTTTTGTAGTTCACCAGAATTCTTTTACAATGTACCCACTAGTTTTCACTTTCAGCATGTGATAATGGTAAATACGGACAAGACTGCAATGAAACTTGTAGCAGAAATTGCCGAGACAACTCGTGTCATATCGTTAGTGGAAATTGTACCAAAGGGTGTATAATAGGATATCAAGGGAATTTCTGCTCAGCTGGTATCAATTCCAATAATCCATTGTATTGTATTTAGCCCCTCCTGAATTTTCCGATTTTGATAATAACTAAAAGTTTAGGCATGATATTTTTTTCAGATGTAACATAAATAAATATACTTTTAATCTATTGAATTTTCAAAAAAGAAAGACAACTTGTAACTCATATTGAATGTAAACTCAAAAAAACTTGTTTATATTTTAGTTGACTGATGTGCTCATTAAATTCTCTATTATACAATAACCCTTTTTTGTAGTTCACCAGAATTCTTTTACAATGTACCCACTAGTTTTCACTTTCAGCATGTGATAATGGTAAATACGGACAAGACTGCAATGAAACTTGTAGCAGAAATTGCCGAGACAACTCGTGTCATATCGTTAGTGGAAATTGTACCAAAGGGTGTATAATAGGATATCAAGGGAATTTCTGCTCAGCTGGTATCAATTCCAATAATCCATTGTATTGTATTTAGCCCCTCCTGAATTTTCCGATTTTGATAATAACCAAAAGTTTAGGCATGATATTTTTTTCAGATGTAACATAAATAAACATACTTTTAATCTATTGAATTTTCAAAAAAGAAAGACAACTTGTAACTCATATTGAATGTAAACTCAAAAAAACTTGTTTATATTTTAGTTGACTGATGTGCTCATTAAATTCTCTATTATACAATAACCCTGATCTAATTAACTATTCTTATAAAGTCATGTACCAATATATAAATTTGATACATCGTTCCAAAAAAAAATTGATTGATTTTTCATTTAATCATTTTATCAATATTCTTATAACTTTGGGAAAAAAGAAGAAATTAATCATCTCTATGATTCATATATTTCTTGAAACTATAGAAATGAAGAATACTAGTATTTTGAAATGGATTTGTTGGTACAATTAAGGCAAACTGTCTGAACACTATTATTTTTACAGAGTGTTCTCGAGGAACATATGGGCAGGACTGTACCATGCAGTGTAATATCAATTGTATCAACTCCACGTGTAACCACATAGATGGCACTTGTACTCTCAATAATTCCGACAATGGTAAATTTTCAAAAAAAAAATTAATGGAAATTTACACCTCAACATTTCAACTTTTTATCGTTATTAATTTTTTTTTTTACTATTGATTATAAAGCTCTAGTATGGTTGAAAAAATACGTTTTCCTCAAGAAAGATACGTCCAAAATTATGTCTAGCTTAAAAGTCCTAAAACAAACTCTTTCCTTAAGGACTAGGTAGTCAGGTCCTCAAATTCGTAATTTCAGCTATTAACTACTTTGAAATGCCCACAGTATTGTGATCTAACGGTTGACTTGACTGGGGTGGCTGATTATAACAAGTTTATATTAACCATGGAGTTACATCCAAATCTAAAATCATGAAGAAATGTATATATCATAAGACATACTAGTATGTTGCTTTGAATACCCTTCCTGTCCCTTCAAAAATACTGGAGTAGTGGACAATTATACTGACGTTTGACTGGAAGGTCCACGTAAACTATTTAATTGTATATTTACAGGGACGATAATAGTAGAGCCAATTGTGTCAGCAGGGCTGTCTACGGACGATCTGGCCATGCTCATCTGTCTGGTGCTGGGAGTCATCACACTTATCGTCGCTGTCGTCTTTATTGTCATCGCCGCCAGGGCCCATAAACGGTAAAAATAACAGGAACTTACTGATATGGTAGACCAATGAAAAAAATAGCTCTTATTAAGAAATTGAAGTATTTTTTATCAAATATTAATTCAGTGTTAAATTTCTTGAAAGTTATGTTATGAAATTTGAGTAGAGATCAAGGGTCAATATTAATTTTGAAAGTTTAAAGAAAATGCGTATGAATTTACTCCTGAAGTTTTTTTTGGTAGTTTTAAACAAGAAGCAGAGGAATATCAAGAGGAAGAGGAAACACGCAGTGTCAGCAAAAACAGGTAAGTTACATGTAGTGACTACAAATATAGAGACCCAAAGTATCAATAAAAGCAAGCAAGTCAAGTTTCAAAAGGTATCAAGACATACACAATCAGCTTAAGTAGGCAAGTAAGACCCACAAATATATAGAGGAACAGCAAAAACAGGCAAGATAGACACCAAAAAGTTAGAGAAACGTTTTATCAGCAAAAGCATGCAAGTTAGACACAAAAGTATAGAGACATATTGAATCAAGAAGAGCAGTCAAGTTAACTCAAACGACATAGAAACATATACATGAGTATCTGCAAAATAAAGGAAACTAGACCCATAAAATAGAGACACGTATCCGTAAAAGCAGGCAAATTGTAGAGACACAACACATAGTATAAGCAAAAACAGGCAAATTAACCCCCCTAAAGTAAGCACTGATGAAACTGCAGTTAGCTCAACCTTCTTTAAGTATTTAAGCTTTTTCCAAATACCCGGTAATGCAGCTGCCTTCAGTGAAGTTAGTTTTTTGCCAAAACAACAACAGAACAGTTTTTGTGATTCCATAAATGTCATTTATTAAAAATGATGATAAAATTCAAATTATAAAAATAACTGGGAGGCAAAAAACCAGTATATCCTGTAATACACATAATAGGTAGAACAGACCAAAAATACGTACATAATAATACTTACAGCAAACAAAATCACTATAATGGCCTCCCAGAACTAGACGGTACAACAAAAGATATGGGTATTTATCACGGGTACTAGTTGTGATATGACTATATATTTTTTTAATCATCTATGTCTAGTCTGCGTGTGATATGCTAGTCACATGCATTTTTGCCTTTTGATGATGTACAGTTACATTTTCTATACAGATGTAAGCAATGGGACTTAAGTAGTCTTGACATTATATGTTATTTTGTATATATGTTTTTCTGACCACTTTACAAAAAACTGCCTTTTACATTTTTATGTACTCTATTTTGCAGTTGTACTTGTAATTGTCTTTTATAGGGAATGTTAATTTAAATTGTGTTTTTTCCTCTGTCATTTATTTTCAGCCGCATGTTTTGTGCAATATTTTACAGGAAAATGAATGACATTCAACTCTCTGATTATCTTATTTTCTATTGGTATTAGGCAGACATACATAAAAAAGGTGGTCCAAAACTTTCTTTTGTAAAAATAAAAACAGAGTGGGGACCTTGGTCATAAGAAAAAAAAAGATAAATATTACCTACAGAATAAATATTTTTTTTTATCAATAAAGCTTAAACAATATGCAGTATGTTTCTTGAGAAACTATCGCTTAAAATTTTATTGGTATGAGTAAAGACTCTTTTCATTTCAATCATCGAATTGAACACAAACAAGATCAACAGACAAGAATGAGGGTTAAAATAACATTGAATGTTGCTATTAGGAAGCCGAAAGTTAGGTTATCATTTTGATTCTTTTCTCTTGAAAATTGAAACTGATCTGCATCTCTGTTGTAAAAAAGTAAGAGAATATATCCTTTATTTGAATTTAAAACAAGGATTAGAAAAAAACAGACTACAGAAGAAAATATTATTCCGTTTAATTTTAATTCGTAGGGAACATATGTAAGAAACAAGATAATAGTATTTGCACAGAAGAAATGACTTACTTAAATATGGAAACGAAAAATATGTGTTACAAGAAGGAAATTCTGGTCTTATTATCAACACACATGTGTAGAGTATTATCAGTATACTAGTATATTTTCCCTATAAATGTTGTATTTGTCTTCACAGTCATGATGCCCTGCCAGCTACACCAAACAACAGACAAACCAGATCTGAAGACCACTTGATGCACGTGCAAGGTACCCCCAATTAAACCCAGAGTAACCATTACGTGGAATTGGTCAAATATGAAGGAAAATTCATTTTAAAAAATCATATTGTTTTTCTGTAGAAATTTCAGTAGATTAAACATGTCAAGCGCATGATAAAAATGCAACCAAAGGGATGATTGTGATTTGAAGTTAAAGCATTCAGAAAATTATTAACCATAAAACAATTGCAAATTTGTTTTTAATAGTCAATTTTTCTGAACTTTCAAATTTAAAGCTAAAATCTTAGAACGATACTGTTTGTGTCTGCCGAATTTCATATAATATTTGTAACTTATTGCAGATGTTCAGACTTCAGTTATTGGTCCTTATAGGTTCTCATTAAATCCTATTCCATCTATGTTAATTGACATTCTCTTCATATAGTTTTTTTTAATTCAGCACACGTTTCCTTCATTTTATTAAAACTTAATTCATTGGGGGCACTTTTTATCATTTCTATTTATTAAAAATAAATATTCTCTTTCTTCAAGTTGTAATTCAATGAACATTTTGCTTTCTTCCTTCCTTTCAAATACTTAAGTTTGTTTCCTACCTTTCATACACAATTATTTGAACAGAGATTTTTTTTCCAATTGAATTATATCGATTATAAATGCCTTTGGTTTCTATCTTCATGTTCAGGGTTAAAGTTCTTGAATGTAATTGTCCGAAGCATTTCGTAAATAATGTGCGATGTAAAAAAAAAAAAAAACGCATATAACTGATGTCTTTTGGGTGAAAAGGATTATTCACGGTAGAGACAATCATCAGAAAGTAAAGGTCTTTCTTTCGTGATATTTTTTTTCTTCTGCTATGGTTTAAAAGAATGCTTTGAAGTTGAAGGTCTGCAATTAGTTACAAATATTTTTTTTATTATAAAATTGTTAGTATTGTGTTCATTAAAGAGATGTTCTACTTACCTGCAAAAAAATGTCCTTCAACGAAAGATAATATTTGTTCGGCCGTATTCCCTTAAGATTGTCGTGCATTGATATATTTAACCTTAGTATATAGTAATTAATATTTTTACATGTCTTAATTAAACTTTTTAGCATAAAATTTGTTTAAGACACGTCTTAAAGTTTTTGTTTGTCAGATTGATAAATAATGAATAAAAGTTGTTGAATTTACTGTTTTGTAGTTGTTTTTCATAGTGTCAAAAGGATTAAAGCTTCATGTCATTTTAGTACATGAAACTTCATTGTTGGCTGTATTTTCATGTAAACAAGATTATTTAGACAGTAACAAAGTTACATCAATAGAATGAATATATGTGATACAATAAATCAACTTTTAACTATTTTATCAAATATTTCCTTCAATTTTTTCGTGTATCTTTTTATATCTGTCTTTCATCATGCTTTTTATATGCAGACTATTACCTTTATATGAAGTTTTATCTTTTTGAAATAAACTATGAAAAAATTACAAAACTGAATTAATCAAAATTTTATGTAAATACTTCTCCGAAATTTTCCAACCTTTGTTCTTGCTCAATATAAATAGGGCCGTTTCTCAGCCGTCCGAAACCCGCTCCCCCTGTCGTGGCGGACGACAGCAGCCTCTATTTCGGCGTTGATGACGTACCCTCGAAGACCGAAGATTACTACAATGCTAGTGTGTTTGCCTGTGGAATACCTATACCGGAATTAAAGAATGTCATCAAAACTGACCAGAAGCGGATAGAAGAAGAATACAAAGTATCGTGTTTCTTTAAAAACTACATGTTCACTACATACATATAATTGAGAATTATTTGTTTTCATATTTATTGAATGTCACATGAAATCGATTTTGGTGTTTATATACATTCAATTGTATAATGCAGGAATTGCAAAAGGGAGTTATTCATCCTTGTAAACTTGCCAACAAGCCAGAAAATAAGCCAAAGAACAGATACCTTACAGTTTTACCATGTAAATTAAGGCTTTTATTTGATTTACTTTATTAAATCAACAAAAACATTTATTGTTAATTTTTTGTCTAATTTTTTTTATGTGATAAAATGCACAATATATAAAAGTTTTCTTCGTTGGATTCATCGATAGTAGTTTGGCTTTTTAGGGCTGTAAAAAACGTTTAATAACAACTTATTTTAAAGATGACCATTCGATTGTCGAACTGGCACCTCTTTCTGGAAAGCCAGACACTAAGTACATCAATGCCAACTACATAGATGTAAGTGTTTTTCATTTAATTTTCATTTCTATTTTATACGTTAGATGTATTTCTAATTCATTGGTGCACAAATCGGAATAGCAATAAGATCTAGATTTCTGTATAATTCTATCTATTTTATTCCCAAAAATTGTTCATAATTGTTTTTAATAGGTCTTTTTGAATAATAATTTTTGAAAAGCCAAAAACTTGAACCTTTTTAATTCCGAACAATACTCATTACTTGGAGAATATGGTTAAAGAAAACCTATTTTTAAAATTATTATTTTATTTATACATGTATTCTTAATTTTATTTTAATTTAGAGTACCCTGGAGGATAAGGCTTATATTGCAACGCAAGGTAGAGTATACTTGTTTTGTTTTCATCATCGAATTCAAAATTTTGAAAACATTTAAAAAGAAGTTGAAGTATATAGGTTAATTTAACTTACAGGACCAATGACGTCGACTATTGGGGATTTCTGGAGACTAGTGTGGCAGACCTATTCTGGCAAAATCGTAATGCTAACAAAGCTTAAGGAGAAAAATAAGGTTAAGAAACTAGAGAATATAATTATGTATATTTGATATTTGTAATTTCATACAAAAGTTTTTATTTGTGTTTCGTTAATCCGAAACTGTTTAGGACAATGCATTGCAAACAATACCGGTACTATACAGTTATTGACTGGGAATAAGCAACATATGATTTGTTGGACCTGAAAATGAAAATGTTGCCCGAGACCGCAGGTCCAACAAATCATGTGTTGCCCGAATCCCAGTCTAAAACTGTTTTGTTATACCCTTCACTTTAAGATGTAATAGATACAAACTGTATCATCCATTACTTTTTATGGAAAATGTTGGCTTAATCAATGAAGTTAAAACAATCGCTAAGAAAAAAAAATATACCAAAAATATATCAGAAAACATACTCTTCCCATCTCTGTCTTTTAAGTACTAGTTGCAACAAGTCTTGTAGCTCTGAACTTTTCTGCATTATAAAAAAATTTAAAACACTCGAACAAACACACATACATTTGCAATTTTTAATTAATATAACCCTGTCTTTATCAGATAAAATGTGCCCAATATTGGCCAAATAAAGGATCGACTTTAGAGTTTGGGCTGTACAGAATAGCAGTCCAAGCAGAAAAGAAACACGTCACTTACGTACAAAGGGCCCTTCGACTGGAAGACATGACGGTTGGTCATATTTTGCTATCACATTTACTTCATATACTCTTTGTTTTCTTATGTAATTTAATGACAAGCAACCTGAAGTCATTTTGTCCAATTTTTTTTACACTTAAATGAAAAAGAAGAAAATAAATTCAATCTTGGTTAAAACAGTTTTTTTGTTTTATAAACCGTTTTGCACTTTACAAGAGTAAATTGTCCAAACCCAGTTAATAGAGTATGATCTGGTGGCAATTAAAGTCTTTCCTTAAATAAATGAACAACCACGATCGAAGCACTTATATTTACTGGTGCCCTTACAGACCAGTGAGTGTCGAACCATCCACCACTTCCACTACATGGCCTGGCCCGACCACGGGACTCCTGATCACGTGCAACTTGTTGCGTTCCATCGTCACGTGACTTCTGAAGCGACAGATTTCATAGGTCCTATGGTTGTACATTGCAGGTATAGTATTGATCTGATGGTATTTTCTAGCAAAAAGCCGTTATTTAGGCGATTTCTACTCTTTACCAATCCATCAAATCATTTTAAGCGGTATCGCTACGTGATGAAAAACATCCCACTCTAGAAAAATGATTTTTCTTTCTTGATGTGTATTGCTCAAATAAAAAACAAAAATATAGGATTCACATTATAAAAAAAAGGCTGGAGCACTTCTGTAAAATCAAGGGTATTTTGATTGTTGCTTTAAAAGGTATGACATCTAGTACTTTCTACTTACTAATAGAAATTTTCACATAATTAATTTCATTTAAGTCAAAAATTTTTATCAAAAAACAGTCAAATTCAGCTGTCAATGGAATTTTCTCTTCAAATAATAAATTTGCCAAAAATGGTATGAATTTTTTTCTGAAAAATCATGTATGCAAAAGTAAATGTTAAATAGAATATGTATTATATTGAACCCCATCTTCCATTTAACTGATACAGCCTTAAATATGACTGTACAAGAAATTTGTGTCATTGGTGTTACTATTTTTGTTTTTGCTACAAAAGAGTTATCATTCCTGATAAGAGAATATCTCCTAAGTCATATTAATCACTTCTAACCAAAAACAACAGAAAAAGTTCTTTGATATTCATGATCAAACATATTGATGGACTTCAGAAGTAAAAAAGTACACTATACAGACTTTTTTTGTCAGTGGTGTTCCATGTTATTTCAAAACAATTTTAGATATTCATTGAACTTTTTTGTAAGATGAATAGGTGAACTGATAGCAATGTGGACAAAACTTTTATCTCTTATCTTAAAAGAGATACCAGATCATTTTATGACTAATACCTCAATTTTTGCATTACTTATAGTTTAACACCAATGACAGAATGGTTACACCATTGACAAAACAAATTACTTTTGGAGGCAAAATATATTTTCCTTTTTAGAAAAGTCATTTATTTGTATTCTACTTTGCAAACCTAATTTATGGTGTTTGAAAGTATTTTGATTTATTTTCCAATACATATTTTTTTATAAGACTCGTTTCAAATATACAATCCCAATGACAAGAGATCATATACATGTCAATGACAAACATTTTTTTATGCTCAGAAAATATATTTTCCCTTCTGAAAAATTCACAGGCCAAGTATGAAAAAGGTTACTTTAGTAAAGTAAAATTAGTTAAGTTAAGTCTTTATGTCTTATCTCTCTACAAATAGTTACCTTTTTATGGTAACACCAATGCAGTGAAGTAAAAATTGACAAGAGATTTTGATTTATACATTTTATGCACTTTCTTTAATGATATGGGATTTAAAACGTTATATCCGACACAGTTGAGATCAACTTCCTGCCACATTATTTTGTCTCTTTTTAAATTGCTTTTTCATTTTTGTTTTTAAAATCAACTTTATGAAGAAAAGTTCTAGAAAAATTTATATCTTTGAACTCCAAAGACTTGTATCTAAATAATAAATGTTTGTTTTGGACTGTGATGAAGTGACAATAATTGTCATTGGTGTTACCAGACTTCTTTTTGTTATAAGATCATTTTATGTTTCATATTTCATTTCTGTATGTTAATTGTTACATAAAAATTTTAATGTTAAATTTTTTTTAAGTGCTAGGTCATTTTCTGAAGATATTGGTGTTACAAGACATGAGTAACCAACCTAAAAGGTGTTATTTTTCCCTTTTAATAAGTTTAAATGTAAGAGATAACTTTATATTACATAAACCATTGAAAAAAACATAAAATTTTAGATTTATAAAGGCCGCCAAAGTGTGTCTTTTTATTTTTGTCTCACCAATTACAAATATGATTGAAAACATTTCACTGGACATGAAACTTTTCTTATCAGTAAACATTGTATTAGTAAATGTTTATTGTTGCATTCATAAGTTTTTCACTTGATTCTATACGACAAAATTTTATAAAAAGACCAATGACAAACACAGTTTGATAATACTTCCATACAAAAAAAATATTTGGTTTTAATGTTGATTATATTGTGCAGCTTTATCAATTTAATACAAAAAAGAAACAGAAATATTTAATTGCACATGAACCATTTAGCTGCTTTTTTTTATATTGACCCATTTAGGTGGAGCACTGGTCAAGAGTATTTTGACGGGAAAAAGGCTTATACTAGTGTTTTGCTTCGACTGTTTGTAATGATATATGAGAGTAAAAATTTATTCAAAAAACAGTCATTTAAGTCCTGAAACTTTCTTTCTAATATTTTGACAAAAACGAAATTCCAAAATGTGAGAATGATATATTTATGACGTTTGTGATCTAGTTAATTTGGAGGACTGGAACCTTTATCGCCCTGGACTCCCTCCTGAAGCAGGCTAAACTGACCAATCAGGTACAGGTGTTCAACTTCATCAAGCTGATGAGGAAGGACCGCATGAACATGATCCAGACAAATCTTCTTCTCAGGAGAGACCTCCCAATTAGTCCTATAGGACAAGGTGGTATTCATGATGTGATATAGTTAACAATAAGAACCTCTTATCTTAAAACGTTCAAACTTTAGGGAACCTCAATTGTTGAAGATTAAACTTTGCATACAGAATCTACAAACTCCTAAGCACTAGTATAATTTTCCTTTTTAGGATCAGTATCTGTATGTTTATCATACAATTTATGAAGCACTCAATCACAAAAACACAACCATAAAGAGGAAAGATTTTCCAAAAGAATTTTTTAAACTCGAAGATCCGTCTAACAAGTCAGTGAAAAGGACTTTAAAAGAATTTCAAGTAAGTCTTTATGTCTTATTCAAAGCTGATGCATCCTAAAAATTGCTGACTGCACTTGTCGTTTTGATATCATTAACGCAGTTTCAACTTCCTGCCATATTCTTTTGTCTCTTTTTAAATTGCTTTTTCATTTTTGTTTTTAAAATCAACTTTATACAGTTCTAAAACATTTATATCTTTGAACTCCAAAGACTTGTATCTAAATAATAAATGTTTGTTTTGGACTGTGATGAAGTGACAATAATTGAATTTATATGGAAATAGAATTATATTTCCTAAACATCAAAAGCATAACTTTTAAAAAAGAATTAAAGATGAAAAACAGCTAGATAAATTTTTCAACCAGTAAATATGGAAATAATAGATAACGAAGAATAATGAAGCTCAAGAGTCCATAGAAACGAAAAAAAATTAGGAGAACATTTATTAGAGTTGGAAACGTGTGTCAAGTGACCTAAATAGTGATGTCATGTTTGACAACGAAAATATCCGTAGACAGTTCAGTTTACAATGGAGAGAAACTTGATATGTCAGCATTCGTTAATAGCTTGTCTCGTTTTAGAAATTGTACAAACACAGACCATGCTCTTGCGTATCGAATGAAAAGGGAGATATAAATTTCATATGTCCGATGGATAATTGCTACGATGTTAATTTTTTTTGTTTTCAAGATACTACAAGACATGAGGGGTGTTTTCACTGCTGATAACCTTAATCCTAAACCTAAACGGAAAGGTATAAAGGCCGCCAAAGGTGAGTACCATTACCACTCGGCATTTCCCATATTTCTTCAGAAGACATTGTATTACTATTTTTTGTTCCCTGCTCTCTATTGTTCATCTAAAAGTCAAAGACTCGTTTAAGTAAATTTAGGATAAGAAAAAACAATAATTTTTGTTTATTTTTTTTCTTTAAACTAGGCCGAGATAGCGCTAGTACTGGGAAACTTCAAACAATTAAAATACCGGTAGGTAAATTGCTTTATTTGGTTTCACAGATGAGATTTCTATTAATCTTTTGTATCTATCAACTTTAAAAAATACAAAATAATTATAACGGTATATTGCACTAACCCAGGCGTACGGGGAGAGCCGAGGATTTCAGCTGGTACAGTCTTTGATGCCGACAATGGACGTGGACTTGTGGAACTTCGTCATGACGTCAGAAGCAGCTGTTGTCGTGTCTGTGGACAAACAGTCAAGCGATATTGTAGGTATCTTACAGATGCGATGTAGGATTCGACTTTGTTCTATATTATTTTTTTTAATTTTCACGACGGAAGGACAATTTTTTTGTGATCAGTATATACATGTACATTTAATGCCTTAATACCTTTCTTTTTTCATAAATTCTAATATCAAGTACTTAATGAATTTTTAGCTGGGGAGTTTTCTGCCTACAGCCGGTGAGACCCGTGTGACCAGTTATATGGCAATTTCCATCTCCAGCTCTGCCATCAACGAAAACGTCAACGCATCAGATTCAGTAGTGGAAATCACAAACAGAGTAAGGTCATTTATACAAATAAAGAATAGTGTGCGTTTTTACTATGATATTTTTTAAATTAATAGAAATGTTTATCCCTTTCATTTTCCCATCTGACCCATTGCTACACCTGTATACTAGTATCTGTTGTTTTGTTGATTTATTTCTTCAAAATACTTCATAATTGACGAGACAAAGGTAGCTACATTGTATTTAGGAATGAAGAAGTGGTAGGAAAGACATTATTGCATGTACTTTCATTAATGCATATCTTATTATAAAGAACACAGAACAGAGTGACGAGATCACCGTGATAAGATGTTGTATTGATGGAAAGAAATCAAAAATGACCGCCTCGGAAATGGCGAATCTGGCAGTGCTAATTGAACACACGGAAAAGGCCAGCTCACTCACTGGAGAAACTATTGTTCTGAGCAGGTAAATCTTTGCTTACAGGATTACTTTAATTTCAAATTATTGTTGGTTTTGTTTATATTTAACGATGGAAAAAGGAATAAAATATTAAACCTAATCAAAGTTAAAGCAATATGAGCTGTAAATAACTAATGTGTATTTCAATGACAGAAAAAAATGACGTTAATGAACTTCTGTTGTTCATATTTGCGTTGGAAGAACAAGTTATAAGCTCCGATTGAATCAAAATTACAATACATTATTGTCGTCCTGTATAATAATTATTTCTTATAAAACTGTATATTGGATTGTATAAAGAAGTCTTGCTTCTACTTTATTTTAGTCTAATTGATCATTAAGGTTTAAGCTACATACAAATTTATCATAATTACACATTTTAACAGCAAATAAATAAAATTTAAAAAATGCAGCTCATATTGCTTTAAGACAAAACATATATGTAAATCGTAAGATTTTCTGATTTTAAAACTGATTGGAGACGTATGAAAAATCTACATTTTGATAAAGAATTTCAATTCATATTGTCGATTACAGTGACGGAATATCAGGTCCGGGATTATTATGTGCCGTATCTTACGCTATACAAGACGCAATTATAGAGAAGTCTGTAGACATATTCCAAACCATTCGACAGTTCCATATAAGGAATCCAAAGTTCATTGCGACTCAGGTACGCCATTCTCTCATAGCTGTAGTTTACAACATTAAGTACAATGCATTGTTTTATTTAAATATTGGTGTTGTATTTACAGGAGGACTACGATTTTTGCTACCAATCGGTCAATGAATTCATGCTGACGGACAACGATTATGCCAATGTAGAAAAGGACCAAGAATAGCCTCTAGGATCCTTGACAATTCTTCTCATTTTTTAAATAATTTGAAATGAAGTGCTTTTATATATTTTGTGCTGTGTTTATATTTGTTTTATGTATTTGCTAATTAAAGGTGTCAATTTCAGAATAAAATCACCATACCATAACAAATAAAATTAAAAGATAAAGTCTTAATAATACTGTTTTACAATGTTTCACACTTGGCGTCATATTCATTGGTGAATTTGAGATACGTAGAAATTAAAATATAGCAAATGTTTATCAACAACTCAATTGTTTTCTTTCTACAATTTATCCACTGAATAGCATTTTTTTGCATTAGCAATATTTATCAAAATCTTAAATTACTTTAATTTTTAAAAATAATACCCAAAAATTTTTGTAGAATGATATTTTTCAGAAAAATGTATTATTAAAGCAAATCTAATGTAGCCAAATGTAATAAAAACATTCTTCTAGGAACGAACTTAATCCTTCAGTCAACGGCAGTCTTGTGATATGGTCATTCCAGTTAAAGGGTATTTGGTCAGTAGATAATCTAACAATAAAAATAAATTTTTAAATACATATACAATTTATTATTCATATGAAAACCCCAAAGTGATGCTTTGTGGAGATTTGTTTATCAAAATTGTCATTAACACGATCCCCAGTCTCCATAATCAATCGATAACTAACATTTGGTGCAATAAAGCATCACATTTTGAAGATTAAGGCATTGTAAGTTCCCTGTGAACAACCATAGTCTGAGGTGGAAGAGTTTTTGTCGTGCTGACTTCCGGTAGGGCTAAATCGTCACGTGACAGTTCCGTTTTAGCCGTTGTTACTTTTTCGCCACCTTCCCGATGGGAAACGCGGAAAAGCAGCTTTTGATCATCAATCTTTCGAGCATTTTCTGACGTCTTGGCAAAATGATGGCGGGCATCAGAATCATGTTTTTTCCAGTCGTTGTAGCTGTACTTCATTGAAAGCAATGTGTTCACGCTGTTTGTAATATTTCGTAAAGTAGCCAGTCTGTTTTGAACTTTTTGAGAGTACCTTCGAACTTCAGCAGTAAAAATCCGTTGACCGCGGTCATAAGCGCGAATCTTGCGCTCCGTCTCTTTTGTAAGGTCACGGTGAATCCGGTGGAGCTGACCGTGTCGGACTGGACTACGCATGGACTCGAATCTGACGTCATGCGTGGTGTCGTATTTGAGTTGCCAGTGAATCGGCGGTTGTCGATGTTCTTGGTCTTCTCCAGGAATCCGAAACTTTTTTTCTGTCATAGCCAACATTATGAAGATCAATTAATACTCCATTGTCGTCTAAGAAAAGCACTTCCAGAGACAGTCTTGATGTTCAAACAATCTACACTTCCGTCATCTGTTGGGCAACAAAAGCGTCATCGTGGCTAAAAAAAAGAGAGAGTGGACGGAGAGTGAATTTAGTCGTTTTCTTTAAACATGTATCTTCCAAACAAATATGAAAAAGCTGTGTCCAGTAGCGTGTTTCCAAATCAATTTTACCGCTCATATTTACAGACCTTTGACATGATATGGCACTTTTCTAACGTATGTGTTTATTGTTGATGTCCTTAGAATATAAAATAAAAGGCCGCTGAAAACAACCAGGTAATCAATTTTTGTTTATTACCTTTAGACACAACAGTGTCAAATTTAACCAATCGGACACTTACATTTACGTTCAGACATCTGAGCCATCTTTATACCTTTGCAATATGTGTAAAGTTCTTCATTAAAAAAAATTAAGCAATTTAGATGTATTTTATTATAGACATTTTAGAATCCATAGTTTACATTGCGATTTTTTTTTAACTTTCTATATTAAAGGATATTTTCAAACAAAATGACATAAGAATATATTCAAAAAACCGTTTCAGTACAAACCTGAATAAGAAATAAGCTACTCCAAATGCAAAAATAAAATCAGTGAAGGGAAAATATCTCTGTGACTTTAAAACAATAAAAATTCAATTTGTAAAAAAAACATTGAATCGTTCGTTGGGCTCAAGGGTTGAACGTTAGCGCGCGATCTCAAATGTGTAATCTGGTCACGCATCACGTGGTCTATTAAATGGCAGACGATTTAAACGTGGTGCCTTGTCTTCTACAAAGGATTTCTGACATACAATATCTAAGATACTATCTTTTGCGATAATGGTATACCTTTGATAATTATATGGCCCCCATGTAAGGTTGTATACCAACAAAAACTCTTGATCCTTTGTTTAGAAAACAAAACAATGTATACGATTTAAAAAGAAAATAACCTCTTTGTAAAAATCAAACACCTTAATACATAACCTAACTGACTCAAACTTTGTACAGAAATGTGTGTATTTTTGCGCAAATGAAGTGATAACCACTTGAAATGAGTGAAATCACATGATCGACTCCATTATGCAAGAACTATCACGTTATCCTTCTGAATACATGGCGAAAAGACACTTTTTATGCCCTCATACTAGTACTCAAATATTCGATGGCATATAGTTTTTGCCCTGTACGCCTGACTTACTTTGAATGAAATGTTTTTGACCTTAACCTTTGTGTTTGACCTACTTTTAAATAACTTGGCCATAACTTTTGAATAGTTGGTGCTAGGACTTCCAAATTTCACAGGTGTACGTATTCCTTGTCACAAGACATCCCTCGGTTACCAACAGTTTTGACCCAACAGTGTTTGGCGTTTGGCCTTCGTTTGAAAAACTTAAACCTTAGCCATAAGTGTTGAACAGTTAGTACTAGGATTTTTTCATGTCCTACACTCATGTGAATTCCTTGTGACAATACCTTTCCATTAAATTTTGTCCTTTTCCTTAACCCTGCATTTAAAAAAGACCATCCTTGGTCATATGTATGAACAGTTGATGCTAGGGTTTCTTATTTCAAAGACATTTTCCTTGTGACAAGACCTTTCTTTGGGTAACATTATTTTTTTTTATCTCTTGCATGACTTTGGAGTTTGACTTCTTTTCGAGAAACTTTAATCCTCGCCTTATGCTGCAGGGATACGTGAGCATTTGTGTTTCGAATAAAATGTGTTTGTGAAGCACTGATGTCCGTGTATGGCAGCTTATGGCGAAGGTTGAAAATTCTCAAATGCAAGTCAAACTCCAAGGTCAAGGTAAAAAAAATTGTTGATATCAAGTGGAAGATCTTTTCATAAAGACTACACCTATGAAATATGAAAGCCCTAGTACCACTCATTCCAAAAACAGCGTGTCACTTTGGTTGATGGATTGTGCTAAAGTTTTAAGTGTTGGTCACCATATTTCTCATCGATTGGATATTTGATTTCAATTAAATAAATACTTTGCATATGAAACGGAGAATCCAGCATTACACTGATAATACTGACCAATCGCACTGATTAGATTATATACGAGTACTACATTTGTAGTAAGCAGCAACACATGGTCAGTCAAAATCCAGTCAAATCTTCATTTGAGAAATCATTGAGAAATATGGTGATTTAAATCTAAAGCTTTAACGCACTGTATCAAACAAAATGTCATACTGTTAGAGTAAATGTTCAAAAGTTATGGTCATATGGATACTTTTTTTTTTTTTAAAGTGAGTCAAACTATAGGGTCAACGTCAAACAATATTTATACCAATACATTCTTGTCACCATAAACACATGGCGTATACCGTGTGTGAAAGCCCTAGCACCAACTTTTCAATGGGTATGGCCGTATCTGTCCGAATTTTCTCAAGCAGAAAGCTACGGTTCTGCCGCTAGGCAAGGTTATAGTTTGTAGGGTTTTTTGTAAAAGTGGGTCAAACTCCAAGGTAAAGGTCAAGAGGTCAAATTTGGTGGTACCCAAAGAAAGATCTTGTCACAAGGAATACACTTTTGAAATATGAAAGCAATAGTTCCGCACAATAAAAATTTATGGGGAAGTTCAACGTTTTTGCTAAAACTAACCTTATTATACTCCCCGCTTGAAAAGCGGGAGGGTATATATTGATCGGGATGTCCGTCCGTCCATATGTATGTACGTCCGTCTGTTATCAGCAACTCCTCTTATACCATTGAAGGAAATTTAATAAAACTTTCACATAATCTTTGTTGCATATTGTCATTGTGACCTCCTATTTTACTTTTTGATCTGAAACTTATTTCGGGTCTCTCAGAGCAAAACATGGATTGTGCCATTGTAATAAAATGGGAGGCAGGGGAGGGTATCATTTAATGAGCTCATTGCTCACAGTATACCTCTTAAGTTTCACATGGTGGTTTTACTATTACCAATAATTGCTTAGTTAAGTAAATGAAGTATCTAATTAAATATAACCTAAAGTGGTAAAAAAAAAATCAACTGACCCTTTTATTTGTCTCCTTTCTGTCAAATCAACTCAGATTTAAATTCTTTCATGTATCAATTATCAACCCTCAAAAGAATGTAACAACTATGTGAAGTCAGTGTACATTTCAACCAAATGTTAATATTTACATACTACTGTAATTTGTGTCAGCGCACAGATTTAAGAATGTAATTTTATTTTATTAAATGATTTTGCAATAGCCAGATGTATAAGAATAATTTAAAAAGAAAATCTAGCTCACAGTTAAATTTTTTCAATAAATAAATGAGTGAAAGATTGTTGACTCTTCAAATATTAGTGATTGTCAGAAACAGTTAACTATTATGATAAGAAATACTCTACGTTGGGGACCACATTTTGAGTCAGAATAGAAGACAGTGTTTATAAGGGGAAATAAAATGACTATTTAATTTGTATTATCAAAAAAAAAAAAAAAAAAATTATCTGAAAAACACTTGCTTTTTCGTGCAAAATATTTTTTAAAAATCCAAACAAGATGACGTTTTCAAACCGTCTTCTTGTAATTTGTTTGTTTTGATAATTATGTAAATGTTTGATTTTTAAGATAATAAATTAATTGGTCCTTATTCATACTAAAACAAATCCTGTTTGTGGGAATGGGATGGACCTTTGAATGTCCACTCTTCTTCAAAATCTTAAAAAATGACGAGTGTGTCTTCTATAGAAAGGATGGTTATTTCCATTCTTATGTCGATACGATAATTATATCCTGGTGAGCTTGAGACAAAAGATACTACAAAGTCTGACACATATTTGGACCTGAAAAATACGTTAATGGTAATCTAACAACTAAGCTCTATGATAAAGGTGATGACTTTAACTTTTCAATCGTCAACTTCCCTCACTTATACAGCAATATACCTTCATCATCTGCACATGGATTTTATATATCTCAGTTGATTCGATACGCAAGAGCATGCTTTACGTATGAACAATTTCTGAAACGAGGTAAATTATTGACAAACAAGTTGATGAAACAAGAACATCAGCAGTCTCGTTAAAAATCATCATTTCGTGAGTTCAATGGTCGATACAATGACCTTGTCAGCAAATACAATTCACCATTGAATCAAATGCTGACTGACTTTTTTTCACACTTATTGTTAGTCCATTGTTATTTCCTGATCATGACAAGGAGCACATGGCGGGTGTGACTGGTCGGCAAGGGATGCTCACTCCTCCATGACACCTGAATCCATCTCTTATGTTTTGGAGGCCCGTGATTGCGTAGCTTCTATGTTTTTGAATACCATTGTTACTGCAATAATGTTTCAGAATCTTTATTATACCCCGCTTGAAAAGTGGGAGGGAATATAGTAATCGGGATGTACGTCCGTCCGTCCGTCTGTTACGCTTTGGGGTACCCATCTCTTCTCCGAAACTCCTCCTATACCATTGCATGAGTTTATTGAGACTTTCACAGAATCTTTCTTACTTAGTACCATTGTGACCTCCTAACATGGACACTGTCGTTCTTTCTATAATATTGAAGGGTATCCATCTCTTATCCGCAACTCCTCCTATATACTACTGAATAAACTTTAATGAAAGTTATCCAGATTCTTTTTCCATTGTGAACCTCATATTTTACTTTTTGATCTGACACTTCTTTTGGGTCTCCCAGAGCAAAACATGGACTTTGCCATTATTATCTTATGTGAGGCGGGGTATCATTCAGTGAGTTTATTGCTCACAGTACCTCTAGTTTTTGCTTTGAGGTCGATTGGTGGTCAAAAAACGAGAATTTTCTACAAAAACTGGTTCTCTTAACTCCCTTTACATTTGTTTTAAGTATAGAAGCCAACTCATCTTTTGGAATATACTTTTTATTCGCCAAAACGTGTGCAATAAGTTTTTGGAAATTTTATTTTCACCACAGGATGAGGGATTGATGAAGAAAAAATTCTACAAAAATCTGGTTCCTTAAACAACTCTTACATTTTTGTGCAGAAGCCGACTTATCTTTTGGACCATGATAGAGGGTGTTCCGTACTAGATTAAAGTAAAGTTTTCGATTTTTTATACCCCTGCTTGAAAAGCGGGAGGGTATGGTGTCTTCCCACTTAGCCAACATTTTGAAAAAATATAGGTAAAACACAGGTAAATCTGTGTTGGCTAAGTGGGAATGGGGTACAGGAGGAGAACAAAAGAAATTAATTACAGGTAGGCTATAGTCTGTTTTAAGATGAATAAAATATTTATTAATTTTTGTCTATTTTAATTTGAGTGTGTATTTATTTAAGAACAGTTACATCAGATGATCAAAATTAAAAAAAAAACTTTCTGATTATTTTATGTAAAGATAGGGTTATTTTGTAAATTACATAATCATGCACATTTCAAAGTAAAGATATCAAGGATTTTTAACAATAACCCATTTATTTGTCGACTTTACATTTAGAGAGGAGAAAAAATTTAAGTCAATTAAACTCTATGATAAAGGTAGGTTTTACAAGTTCAAAATTGGTGAGAATTTGAATTTAAACATATATCAGATTAATTTTACCATGTATATTTATACTTGTATATTTACACTTAATCCCTTTTCATATTTTAGCTCAGATATGCCATATAAACATGTAGATTTAGGTATAATTCTTATAAAATAAAAATGCATAATTCATTGGTTATATTTAGATTGTATAGAGTCTTTCCTTCTTTTATTGTTTTAAAAATGAAAAAGACAAAATATGCTGCAACATGCCTATTTTAAAATGTACAAACATTGATACATGTATTTTTAATTGATTCATTTTGTAATTTTTTAATTTTTAATTTTGTAATTATTTAATAATTTTGGGGCATTTTCCATAGTAGAGTAAAACTATACAAATAAAATGAATATTTAAGCTGGTGTCTTCATCAGATAATAAATCACATTGCATCAGCTTTGATTACTGTGTTCATAAGTTACCATGATCAAATATTACATACTCAGATAAAATAATATTTCTAATCTCAAATGTTAATTATATTAGAATATTCAAAATTCTCTCACTTTTCTTTTTTGTTTCATCATTAAATACTTCATTTCTTATAAAATTAATTTTATAATTTTATTAATATTTAATTTTTTAAAAATTGCAGATTTTAAATATTTACAAAAAAAATTCTGGAACTTTAATTTTATTACTCTGATTTTATAATTACATTGATTATTGATTGCCTGAAAACAGACTATAGTCTGTTGGTCACTCAGGTGTAAAAATCAAAATGTTGGCTATGTGGGAATAGGTTTTTTTCAAAATGTTGGCTAAGTGGGAATTAACCGAGGGTATATAGTAATCGGGATGTCCGTCTGTCTAGCTGTCCGTCCATCCGTCCGTCTGTTACGCTTTGGGGTACCCATCTATTATCCGCAACTCCTCTTATACCACCAAATGAAATTTGATGAGACTCTCAAAGAATATTTATTTCATAATGCCATTGTGACTGACCTCCTATTTTACTTTTTGATCCGTCACATGTTTTAGGTTTCCCATAGCAAAAAATTATATCCATACCTATGACGTGAGGTGTGTGGCGGCTTCTGAATAACATGGGACAACACGAGTTATTCCTCTTTACACGTTACAGTAAAACAATATAGAGAGGCAAATTTCACATAGAAAAACATGGACACTGCCATTATATTCATATTATAACTATATTAATAGTAGTTAATTTTACTACAAACCAACTGAATTTGTACACTTACCAATTCATCTTTTGGAATATTATTGAGGGTGTTCTGTAAATGTTCCATAAAATTTCATAATCTTTTTTTGTTTTGGAGGGTGATTGGGGATCAAAAAGGATAATTTTCTACAAAAACCGTGTTTCCTGGATCTCGCTTACATTTATTTCATATACAGAAGCCAACTCATCTTTTGGAATATGCTTGAAGGTCGCCATGCAACAGTTTTGACATTTTTATTTTCACCATGGGAAAGAGGACTGGGGGTAAAAGCATGGTTCCCTGACTCCTCATTTATTTTTCACAGTATCCTAAGTTATACATGTATTTGGGAAAGCGAGAGGGGGTGCCATGTTTGTGGTAAGGTTTTTAATCTCTATCCTTGGGGACGTATGATCGTCGATAGCACAATGTTTATTTTTTTTTTTTAAACAAAATTCTGGTTCCTTGAACTTCTCTTAAGGTAGGTCACTCGTCAGCTTTTTGGAAAAGTTCACGCAGAACCTCTTGCTTCAAAACTGTTTATCAAAAATTCAACAATGTTATTGTTTTAACATTAAACGAAAAAACTGCTCAAAAAGCTACAAAGAAGCAAGATTTGTGAGGGACTATTTTTTGTGGTGGAACGATATTTAGCAGATAATTCTGCAAATCTGCACATTTATTAAATTTAATATCTTAGATCTTTAGTCTCACATACCTTTTCAATTTGTCGGAGAATATTTTCCATTATGATATTGCTAGGAATATTTAATATAGGTCTTAATTTATATTTTTAGAACAAGTTTTACACCTTCCTCCAACAAACTTTGCCAAAAAATGAAGATATGTCAAATAAGTCAATATAAAATTTACACCATTTTTTGCCTGCAAATCACATATTTTGACCAATATTTCAAAATTAACATCACTGACCCCTACTTTTTCTTTCATTATTTTATAGTACTCGATAATTGTGACTGATCAGCACTTAAGTCGTAAAAAAGCTTGATTTAAGAAAATGTTTTATTGCCTATTTAGTTTTTTAATACCCCAAAATATGTTACTTTTTAGTGCAAAAAGGTCACACAATAATTTACGCGCATTAATTTGCAAAATTTTTTCAATGATAAATGTTATTCAAAATATTTTACGTAAAATAAAATCATATTTTTTGCCATGGTTTCAACTGATAAAATATAATTAAGGTTTGAGTAATTAACCAAATTGTTCAATTCTAAGTGCAAAAATGTCAACTTCACTGAACCGTAGGTCAGTAAGATGCACACTGACCCGCCATTTTCTCTGCGATTTTGAGTCAATCTATATGAGTACTTATCCAAAATATACTTATCAATAAATCGTTGATTTAACAAATTTCACGAATGACATACCTTAAATTTTTGTCTAGAAGCCAACTCAATTTGGGGGTGTCCTGTATACAGCAAAAAAAATTGATTTTCAGATGAGAAGCCAAATCAAGGTTTTAAAAAATGTTTTTTTGCAAAAGCCTTGTTTGCTTGTACATTTTTCACAGAAGCCAAATCAAATTTTCTAAAACCTTGGGTGTGTGTTTTATCAGTTGAAACCATGGCAAAAAATATGATTTTATTTTATGTAAAATATTTTGAATAATATTTATAAAGGGTTAAAACCCAACAGTTTATTATAAAATGTAAATTGGATTATTCCTTAAATAATGGCTTCAGTTTCTTTTTGACAATATCTATGTAGCCTTTTTTTATATTCGTACGAATTTATTTTTTAAAAAACCTCTACACTAAGAAGTTTCTTAGAAATTTCTTTCTTTCTCAAGAAATTGCTGTTTAATTCGACATTTTGATACGACCTACCGACGACAGTATTGATTATAATAACGACTATATCAAGAATCATTTCCATTCATGCGTTGACGAAAAACTGAACTCGGTACAAAGACTCACTCAAAGTCTGACACATCTGTATCTTATTTGAGTGTTTACTAGTGACATTTATGGCAAAATTATATCAAAACTTTAGGGTAAACTTTTCTGTCGTGACCTTCACTTATTTATGTAGAATCACAATTCCGTTATCACCTCCATATACTTTGCATCGATCTTTAAACCAAGGCATACATCTGACAAAGAAGTTTATGTTACAATGGTATATTATTTTACTATTAACAAAAATGTTTTAAGTTAACATCTCAAAAATTCTATGCTCAATACAATGACAATGTTTGAAAATACAGCCTATCCTTCGGAGGAATTATGCTGAAAAACAAGTTTTAGACCATTATTTTTTTGTCATACTTAATTGTCTATTACTCGATTTAGTCTATCAAGACAAAGGCTCACGGCGGGTGTGAGCGGTCGATTGGGAATGTTTACTCTTTCATGGAATATGATCCACTGATCTACTCATATATTCACTTTGCCTTCTTGTTTTTCTGGCCTTTAAGCATGTTTACTTACCATCATACTAACATTAAATGCATGTAATGTTTAAATATAAGCATCAATGACTTGCAATTTTTTTGTCATTTTCTGAATTGAAAATGTCAAGCAAAACGCTATACAGCCAGCGTTATGCATGTATATGTATATAAATACGCAGAAGATTGATTTTTGATTTTAAATCTTTGTTTATTACAGAAACTTGATAAAAATAATTTTCGATGGAGTATTGAGACCGTTTTGTAATAATTGGTAAGTTTCACAATTTTTACAACTGTAGAAATTTTACAATGTTGTTAATAGTTAATTCTTGCACTGCTAGACCTGGAATAGCCCAGGTCATCGCGCATCCTCGTTAACTAGGAGACAGCTTTTGTAGACAGGATTGCAGCCCTGATGAGTGTTAAGTGGTGTTCCAGTCCATCATCACTGAGTATTCATCCTCGTCAAACTCCCCCTCTGTGGGGTATGGCTTTTTGTGTTGTCTCTCCTTTAGAACTCGAACGCGCCTCCAAAGATAACCAATGGCGAGCAGTGACGTCAGAAGCAGAAGTATCAGAATCACTATCAGAACTATAATAGCAGGCGACGGTTTATGTAGGATCACAACGGAAGCACCTGTTACAATAGAAAGGGGTCAACATAAAAATGCTTTCCTCCCTTGGGTTTCAGTACAAAATAATATTGAAATTTGCATTTGAATATCAAATGCTAAGCATCGTATCCTATTTACTTGTTTATCTGTATAATTTTTTTTCTCAATAATTTACATATGATTCTAAATTGAATTCTTCTAAAGAAATTAAGGAAAGTACTTCTAACCATTTTCAAAGTTTTGTGCCTCCTTCGGCGGTTTGGAAGACGGAGGAGGTCGGGTGACCTTGTAGACAGGGGTCTTCTCTGATTGGTCATTTATGTCCCCGCTACCTTCGTATACCAGATGAGACTTTGCTGCTTGGCTTTGAACAGGGATAAGGTGTTCCGATTGTAAATGATCATGGATCGTCTGCTGGCTATCTTGTACTCCACAAACAATAGAAATGAACTACAACAGTTATAAATAATCTTCTTTTTAAAAATATATCTTTGAAATTAACTGAGATTCTTCATTTTCTAATATGTTTGAAAAATTCAGTAGCAAGGCATTTTTCTTGATCTTAGCTGGAGGACAACGATTTTGCGCCTTTTCTGACCCATAGAAATATACTTTTTATCAAACTTTGGCAAATTTAATACAATTAATTCATTGCAATTTTCCGCCTCGAGTATGTAATATTTTACCTGAACAGTAATCAACACTCCAACAACTGTCCACTTCATTTTTCACCGGTACCACACCTAGTGATGTAAGATACGGTATTGTATTGAGTCTTTTCATTTTTTCCCTAGAAATACTTTAAAAGAACACAAGTACTATGTAATAGACCTCGGAGGGGTCGGCGATTTTATAATTATTATTTTGGTGGTGGTGGTGGGGAGGGGGTACGCTTACGACTTAGTTACAAGATCCCTCATTATTTAAAAGAGGAGCTTAATTAGGTAAATCAAAAATGTGACAAAGTTTAAATCTTTTGGATGCCATGTTGATTCCGTTGACATTAAATTTGAGGAGAATAATATCAGGCATAAGTATATAAAATTTAAATCTTCGCTCCGAAGACTGAAACTCAAAAGTCCTTTATTCTTAGGAAGTGTTTAGTCAGTGACATATTAATTATAAATGTATGATGTATAAATCGCATACAACACACATAGGTGTGCGTAAATCTATTTAGAGAGATTGTCGTGTCACATTTTATTTGCATCATTCACCTGAAAAACATTTCCTGTACATAGCGTACACATATCTCCGTACGTAGATGCGCACACACTAAAACATCTAAGTATAAATATTAATGTATCAATAAGTTAACTATTTTTCTATCGTACAGATATGTAGAATACAAAATGAAATAGATCGAAGTCATCCAATATCTAGTTATTAACAAGATAGTTTACTAAAAAAAAACATATTTAGTAGAGACTTTGACTAGAAAACTATAGGATAGCATACCAAGCTGTTTATTTTCCTACATTGCTTCATAAGAGCCTAACTTTCTTACAAATCTGGTATCGAACAGCATTAATATTTTACGATTTACCTTGCTATAGAAAACCTTTCCCTTTCGTCCTCTAACGATAGGAGGCTTCCGTTATGCAAATTAGGGGTTAACAGTATGCTAAAAATGGAGGTGACATAATGTTAACAAGCCAGGGACTGTCACATCAAAGGTGACAGGTTTACCAAGAAGATAACTCCACAAACAGACAAGCGCAATATGTAGGGAGAGAATGCAGAAAATCGCCGATTTGTATTAACGTTCCTTTAGTACTTATCAAAGATAACGAATTCTGCACCCGGAAATATATACGCCTTCACCAATATTTATTTCAAATAAATTAAAAATTATCCTTGTAGTTTACTTTTTTCTTTCAAAGGTTAGTAACTGAATTTTTTAGAAACAAAACAAATATCAGGTTTTCTTTTTTATTACAAAGTTTTCATTTGTTCATGTATTCAATGCACAAAACAGCACTGAGTGGAGATACTATGTACAAAAGTTGAACATATTTGTACAAACATAGGAGAGAAATCTGAGAAACTGTATATACAATGTATATCATATCTTTTTCTCATTTCTTAAAATAATGACTGGGATCTCAATTATATTAAAAGTTAAATATTATCCTTTAAAAATGTTTCTAAAAATCCAAAGCTAAAATTTTATTAATGAAGATCATTATTATCAAGTAAGACAAAATAAACATGTCTTAGGAAAGTTTGTTATAAAGGGAGATAATGCAACAATCGGAAAAAAACATCACAACGTATCAAATACTTCAATTACAGTAAGTAATTTCATCCTGAAAATGGTTACAAATGTCAACAAATAAATCAAAACATTTTTCTCCCTTTCTCTCTCTCACAATCTCTCAATCATCACTGACAATAAATAAAAAGTATATCTGGTTTGTTGCAAGATTTTTGCTGCTTTGCTAAGCTTATTGCTAGTACATCAATTTTGTAATGCATGTATTGAAATTCAATTTGACAACCTTATACACATTTAAAAAAGAGATTTATATGTTAGACATGAATATTGATCCTCATGTTTTCAATCTACTGTAGAAGTACTTTATTCCGCGTGGTATTAATTTACGCTATGTACGCGGTCACCAATTTTCCGCGGAAATTTGTCCAAGCGTACTTAATATAAATGTAAGGCATATAGTGACAGTCTAGGATATCCGCGTAATTTTCTACCCGCGGATTAGACAGAAATTGAGATTGCCCGGAATTATGACCCCGTGGAAAAAAGTACGTCTACAGTATTTCTGATATGGGTTGTATTAAAACAATTTTACAACCTTGTTTTTTAATAATATAAATGTATTTAAGATTTCTTCAAATAGAAAATCTAATAGCTTTCATAATATACAAATAGGGTGACAATTTATTATACTTTACAAATAAAGTACCTATATAAATTTTACTATTACAACCTCTTATATACAGCTAAAAATATAAAATCCAGGTGCAAAAACTGTCCATATTACAAATAATAAAAATCTGTAAAGGCATTTCAAAATAAAAATTAAAAGAAAAAAATATCAGCAGCTAAAATATGTAAACAGACAACTATTATAGCATCAATTACTCATGAATGTATACAAAACTGATATCTACACAAAGTCACAATCAACACACATAAAGCACTTCGAATGAAACAGCAGCACCCACTATATCTATACATCGGCACACAATCCCTGAATAAATCATCCTAGCGACACTGGCCAGTAAGTCAATTTACACAAATCTTCAATCCAATGATTTCACATTGCCCTGGAGTTCTGAAATGTTTTCTTATTAAAATCCTGAGGTTCACAAAGATTAGCATGAATTCTTTTGTTGAGAAATGGTTTCCTCTGTGGTGTGCATTTGTTTTCTTCCTGTGGCACCAATATGATCAATTCTGAACATTTCTAATTCTTAGATTTTTTATACATATCACAACAACATAGTTCACAAACTACGTCTGAAAAAAATCTGCATCAAAACAATCGATTTCTGCACCAACAGAAAAATAACTCTGTGAGGCACTACATGCACCAAGTTTTCCTTCAATAATCCTTGAGAATTCGCAGTTTGGTGTCCGAGTGCACATCACGTCTCCTTTTCCACTAATCACACTCACTAATGAAAAATTTTGCTGTCTTTCCACAGATCTATAGAAAATGCACAAGTTTAGTGTGTGTCCACCATATGCACCTGAACATTAGTTATGACATTATGGGGGTGTTCAATGATAGTAGTCTGAGGGGGTATGACTGTCTGTTCAGGTATGGGTTGATAGTACTTAGGAGGGGTGGGGCTCCGACTCCTCCGGTAATGACTGGGTGGAGGAGGGATTTTCCCCGGGGTATTTTTAACAACACTGAGAGATCCCGGTTTGTATCTCTCTTTTATTAAAGGTTCTAGACACGGCAGACTAGCGTGTTCACTGTCCTCGTGTGGGGTCATTGTGCTGTAGCCGTGGTCACTATCCCCTCCCGCAGGGCGGCGATATGAGGTGTTTACGCGATAAGGTGAAATACTGGCAGGATTATCAAATGTAGCTAACACAAAGTTAGTATGACCTGAAAAAATATATTCAAGTTTAGATCAAGTACATGTATATAAATAATATTCTAAACACAATTTTTTATAAGTAATTTTGAAACTAACAGTTCAAAAAAATTTTCTTTTGAAAGAGAATGATGAAAAAAAATCATGGGAACTGTAAATTTAAAATTGTTAATTCAAAATCAATAGCAGTTTTAACTGACCTGTAGCAATATCATCAGCCGGCTCGTGCGGCTCTTCTTCATAGAAATGAGACATACGGTTCTGGTTTTCTGGCAGGTTGCTGATATACTGATGGGAGTTACGATGAATATGATGTCGGTAGCAGTACACACCCAGGGCCAGCACCAGGAAACACCCCATGATGCCCCCCGCCACTGGTCCTACTGGAGTGCTCTTCATTGGTATAGGCTTATCCTGATTGGCCATGGCTGCAAAAAAGGGACAATTTCATTCTAATTTTATTTTTTCCTAAAAGATTTTAAAATATTCTTAATTTTTTCTATTGATTAAATTAATCTCTTAGATTGGTTTTGGCAAAAAGTTTGAATTTCAAAGTTCTACAGTTCAATGACAAAAACTACAGCAAAAACTATGACAAATCAATTCATTTTTACAATTAACTTATACAGTTATTTTTTTTTTATATACATTTAATTCATGTAAAGATGAACTGATGCTACATGGTATTCAAAGTAATGATGAACTGGCGCTATAGAGTATTCCCTACCTCTGATTTCGTCCCCATACGGTGAGACAGCTTCCTCCACCCCACCAAAGCAGTGCCTCTGGTCAGCACAGTACGGCCATCTAACAGTGGTCAGTCCGTGCTTCTGTCGCTCACACCAGGCACAGCCAATGGCACTGATACAATCCCTGTTAAACATTATTGAGTAAAACATTGTAGATTTCAATTTCTTATATTCTCAATCTTGATTGTGCAGTGTAGAGGGCTCTTAATATTGATTAAAATTTTTGGCAGACATTGAATAAACGTAAATGAAGATTTCTTACAATTTAGTTGTGAGCAGGTTACACTTTGGTTCATGGCATTGATGTACGTCTTTAAATGGCGGAAAATTCAAATGTATCTGAGATTCTTTTTCTACTTGATGAGCACAGGATGGATTCCTGAAAAAAAGTTATCAATCTCTAATGACTATATGTTCAATCTAATGATGCAGCAATTACCATTCATAAAAAACTTTGTTTTCTGAAAATCAAATGAGTTGCTTAAACTTGCATTATTAAATGTTTAATATCAATAAAGTCTTTCTTACATTTTATTACATGTTAATTTGTTCAATGAATACAGTAACCCTACCTGTCGTCTTCCTGTAGCAGCTCTCCTGTACAGAAGTTCATGTCCAGTGGGCACTCACAAGGACACTCACACACAATCTGTTCCATCTGGTTACAGTTCAGACAGAGACGGTCCACCTGTAATAACAAATTACAACTCAATCAGATTCATCTCTAAATTATGTGTGTAAGTTCTATAATATTTAATCGTTAAAGTCGGAATAAGAAGTGATGTGCTAAAGTAAGAGAGAGTGAAAGAAGTCATCAAACTGCTCGTTAATGTATTGCAATATTTCCTTTTTAAAGTTTATAATCAAGATGTTCCTTACAGTGCTACAGGGACAGAAAGCTGTGTCTGTATTACACGTGTGGTTCACGATCCCTAGGAAGGCATTGGTTCCAGGAATATGTGTGATCTGGAATTACAAATCAATAGTAAAGAATACTTTTTCACACACTTATATCAACAATTTTTCCCTACCTTTTTTTCCTTCAAAGCTAACATAATTTAATCTTAAAGAGCTCTACTGTAACAAACCTGGTATCTGGCGCAGTGCTCCCCGTGGACCAGGTTGGTGAGAACCCCCTCCAGACTGGTGTTAAATTTATAGAACCTCTGGATGGTCCGGTCATTGTAACTGTTACACAGAGTCTTCTTCACAAAATGTTTGTGATTCAGAATGTCATTGGCTACCAGTTGTTCCTGTGAAAAGATAATCATTTGTTCAAAATTTATGTCAATGTTAATTCAGGCCATTTCATTATAGAGAGATGTTCTTCTTCTTATATGATAGAAATCTGAATTTTTGACGAAGATAATTACCTTGTGAGTGATGTGCTGGACCACTTTACTGTTAGGTTCAATCAGTTTGGGATGAGCCACTAGATAACCTTTGTCATCCATGATAAAACATCTAGAGAAAAAAAATTATATTAGATGTCTGCGTCATCAAATTAATTTAACACAAACTCATGTCGATATAAAGATGTCTGAAATAAATAAGAAACTTATGAAATATTCTCTGACAACAACTTAGTTTATGCTATAGCTAACCTGATGTTTTTGTGTGAACAGATGGGAATGACCTCAGACAGGAGCTTGTGGAGGAAGCCCAGGGTCAAGTCCATCCCCATGGCAGCCACCACCCTGTCCTTAGGACTGTGGAGGGAGGCTGGCCTGATAGAGAAAAAAAAATCAAACATTATAATCTATCTCACTCTGTAAATAACAAAACAAGGCAACCAGAAAGATCATAAACAAAAATGTACTTACTTTCCCTCAAAGATGGTGTGACTGATGGTAGTA